GCTTAGTTATATAACACCTCTGAGATGTCTAAACACTGTTTGGTTAGTAAAACAAATGTGGCCTATCCTGAAAGCCTGGATTAGTCCCTCTGTACATCGCTGCACCTGAGAACATCACCTCAGTGAAGCATCCATGACAACACAATAGCACCACTGACTTGCCTGGAGAAACCAAACACCAGGGGATTAGGGGAGTGGCAAAGCACAAGTCTGACTACTACCAGGTCTTATACAAGAATCTTGGAGGAAACAAAATACACATCCAACAAAACCAGACTGGCTTGTAGAGATACAATGTCCACAACTAAAGAAAGTGATACTCACTAAAAGGAAACTAGCCAACATGTGCCTTGATCAGCCACTCCTGTATTTGGATTGAAAGTATTCCATTTTCTTGTTTGACTGTATGTCAGCATTAGTAGGGTGTCAATATATAAAAAGATGACAATGAGGCTCAACGTAGATTCAATGTCTTACTCACTTGATCCTGACAAACTAAGGGAAGCAACTCATTCAAAATTAACAAGTCTGCTGGTCCAGGATTGTCAACTTCTGACACAGGTCACATTTTGAATACCGCTTTCAGCATTAGGTAGATGACAATACTATAGCTGGACTAATGACATGTCCATGTGGACTACCACCTTCGGCATTAGGTAGATGACAATACTATAGCCGGACTAATGACATGTCATTGTAGACTACCACCTTCAGCATTAGGTAGATGACAATACTATAGCTGGACTATAGCTGGACTAATGACATGACAATCTATAGCGGACTAATGACTACCACCTTCAGCATTAGGTAGATGACAATACTATAGCCGGACTAATGACATGTCATTGTGGACTACCACCTTCAGCATTAGGTAGATGACAATACTATAGCCGGACTAATGACATGTCCTTGTGGACTACCACCTTCAGCATTAGGTGGACTACCACCTGGACTACCACCTTCAGCATTAGGTAGATGACAATACTATAGCCGGACTAATGACATGTCCTTGTGGACTACCACCTTCAGCATTAGGTAGATGACAATACTATAGCTGGACTAATGACATGTCCATGTGGACTACCACCTTCAGCATTAGGTAGATGACAATACTATAGCCGGACTAATGACATGTCAATCCTTGTGGACTACCACCTTCAGCATTAGGTAGATGACAATACTATAGCCGGACTAATGACATGTCCTTGTGGACTACCACCTTCAGCATTAGGTAGATGACAATACTATAGCCGGACTAATGACATGTCCTTGTAGACTACCACCTTCAGCATTAGGTAGATGACAATACTATAGCCGGACTAATGACATATCATTGTGGACTACCACCTTCAGCATTAGGTAGATGACAATACTATAGCTGGACTAATGACATGTTGTGGACTACCACCTTCAGCACCTTAGGTAGATGACAATACTATAGCCGGACTAATGACATATCCATGTGGTCTACCACCTTTAGCATTAGGTAGATGACAATACTATAGCCGGACTAATGACATATCCTTGTGGACTACCACCTTCAGCATTAGGTAGATGACAATACTATAGCCGGACTAATGACATGTCCTTGTGGACTACCACCTTCAGCATTAGGTAGATGACAATACTATAGCCGGAATAATGACATGTCCTTGTGGACTACCACCTTTAGAGCTGGGAGATGAGAAAGAATGAAGTTCATATTTTGAAACACCTGACAGGGACTACATTCTTTCAGGGACAGTGAGGTAGCCTTGTGGTTAAAGCGTTCAGTTGTCACGCTGTAGACCCAGGTTTGATTCCCAGAATGGGCACAATGTGTGAAGCCCATTGCTCATGTTACACACTGTGATATTGTTGGAATACTGCTAAAAGAGGTGTAAAACTATACCCAGTTACTCACATTAATTTGGTCACCAGTACTCAGTTCAAAAAGTGTAAGAGACAATTAATCATGTGTGATGGAAGACTGAAGTCAGTTAGTAATGGTGTTTACACAGCTTCGGACAGTGCTGCTGCTGGCTTATCAGTCATCACACCATTCCAACATGACCAACAGGAGGATATTGTTTATGGATTTTTTAGACAAAGACGGAAGAGACAAGGAAGGAGGTCAGGGTTGCTACAACAAGGTCACCAGCACTTACAAAGACATATTCAAAGTTTAGTTTACTCAGGAAAACAAAAAGTTGTAGTTATAGCGCTTCAGTCAAACTTCTAAACTCTTGTACATCCCACAAGTGTCCAGACCATTAAAAGCTCAGATGTTTCTATGTAAATGTATGCTCAGTGAACACCCCGTACAATTTCCAGTATGGTGACAGAGTTGTGATGATGACTGAGATCAGTTATGATGACAGAGATCAGATATGATGACAGAGATCAGATATGATGACAGAGATCAGATATGATGATGACAGAGATCAGATATGATGACAGAGATAAGTTATGATGATGACTGATCAGTTATGATGACAGAGATCAGATATGATGACAGAGATAAGTTATGATGACAGATTATGATGATGACAGATCAGTTAGATCAGATGATGATGACAGATCAGTTATGATGATGACAGATCAGTTATGATGATGATGAGATCAGTTAGATGATCAGATCATGATGACAGATCAGTTATGATACAGATGATGACAGATCAGTTATGATGATGACAGAGATCAGTTATGATGACAGATAAGTTATGATGATGACAGATCAGTTAAGATGATGACAGACAGATCAGTTATGATGACACAGATCAGTTATGATGATGACAGATCAGTTATGATGATGACAGATCAGTTATGATGATGACAGATCAGTTATGATGATGACAGATCAGTTATGATGACAGATCATCAGTTATGATGATCAGATCAGTTATGATGACAGATCAGTTATGACATGACAGATCAGTTATGATGATGACAGATGATGACAGATCAGTTATGATGATGACACAGATCAGTTATGTTATGACAGATCAGATGATCATGACAGATCAGTTATGATGACAGAGATCAGTTGATGACAGATCAGTTATGATGATGACAGAGATCAGTTATGATGACAGATCAGTTGATGACAGATCAGTTATGATGACACATGATCAGTTATGATGACAGTTGATGATCAGTATATGATGATGACAGATCAGTTGATGATGATGACAGATCAGATCAGTTATGATGATGACAGATCAGTTGATGATGACAGATCAAGTTATGACAGATCAGTTATGATGATGACAGATCAGATATGATGACACAGATCAGATATGACAGATCAGTTATGATGATGACAGATCAGTTATGATGACAGAGATCAGTTATGATGATGACAGATCAGTTATGATGATGACAGATCAGTTGATGACAGATATGATGACAGATCAGTTATGATGATGACATGATGATCATAATAAGTTATGATGACAGATCGGATCAGTTATGATGACAGATCAGTTATGATGTTGAGATCAGTTATGATGATGAGAGATCAGTTATGATGATGACAGATCAGTCATGATGATGACAGCAATAAGTTATGATGATGACACCAATACGTTATGATGATGACAGAGATCAGTTATGATGATGATGATGATGATTACAGATAAGTTATGATGACAGAGATAAAGTATGATGATGAAAGAGATCACTTGTGATGATGACAACAACAGCACATGAAACATTACACCATTATATCCATGTTGTTTGCAGCTTGTGTCATTCTACAGTAAGCACAGTGAGACACAGTTGCCTGACTGATGATATGAAGGAAGCGGTCCATTCCTTACTGACCAAAGTACACCTTGCAGTACACCTTGCAGTACACCTTGATGGCTCTTCCATCAAACAACAATCAAACTGTGAACATGGCTAATAGGTTGTGCTCAACATCTTCAAATGGCAATCATCATTTATACTCAATTTGGATGTACAGGAACATCTCACTCAATTCCCTATGCCATATTTTCACATTTTTGAGGAAACTCTTAACCACTTAACCATGTTGACCGACGAATTAGATTACAGCACACACAGTCATTCTACTACTAAGCTTGTGAGCTCTAGCATGTGTTCAATGACTGCAACCAATGGTCACTTTCCGTTTCATGCAGATCACTGTGACTCAGTCATCAATACAATGTAGAAATAGAGCTTAAGCTGACTTCCATCACAACCAGAGCTAATCCATCAGTCCATCACTAGTGCCTGGTCTCCTCGTTTACCACTGATGATATGACATTGTCCAGAAGCTGTGATCTCGACTACCAGAACTTGCTATGATCCATACTGCCCTAGCTGGACATCTGTCACAGTTATCATATACTTGCGTCTAAGACTGGTTGTGATATTACCCCATCAGTTTGTCATTTAGACAGAATATGCCTGAATCATATGTTTCAGTCTCACAGTAAGGCTCAGTCGAACAAGGTAGACATGTTATTACTGAACAATGAGCTGTGTTTGTGTTGCTGCGTCAGCTTGTGTGCTTCTCGTTTCATCCAAATCACGTGACACACATCATTGCAAAAGCAGCAAGTATCAGTTCTAAGACAAGAAATCAAATGGGTCAGAATTGTCAAAATTGATGATAAACTAATTAATCTGTCAGTCAAAGAAGATATGATTGGAGTATTAATGGAAGCTTCTACCAGTGTATGAAATAAGGCCCGTCCGACCGCCCAAGACGGTCTAGATTTCTGACGGACGGTCTAAATTTACATTTAGCCAGCCCGATGGTCTGGTAAAAAATTTATAAGTTCCATACATCTCAGTAAATTGACCATATTTGGTCTGGTTAAATGATGTCTAGCTGGATTTTTGGCTTATTTCATACACTGCTTCTACCCACTCATTTCATTTGTTTTCAGAATGTTAGACAGCACAGCCAAATGTCTATATTTTTAAATAACAGATAAAAAGTTGTAGTCCATGCAAACTGATGTTGAAAGATTAAGCGGATCCCCAGATGATATAGAATAGTAACTTACTCTGTTATTGAACGCCCCTCCCCTGTGACTGCAGCTCCAGCAACTTCATCAACCACTGCTATGTTGTCATCTACGTTACACCTGTTTTCCATTGCTTCCAATCTTCTGAGTTTTCCGATATCACTTGTTCCCTGAATAGTCCCTCTGTTATTTGGTATTACCAAGTGTTGAGTCTCTGTATGTTGCTGGTCTCATCTGTAAAGAAACAAGGAGACATGACAGGGCATGTAGGAGTTAGCAACATTCAGATCTAAATATATCAGCTCACTGTGTGAGGAAAGTCCACAGTAACATTGGTGACAGAACCATGGTCATTACAACTTCCAAGTGATGCTAGAACCCCTAGGCTCTGCAGACAGGGAGGAGTCTGACTCATCATTGGAGGATAGTGGCAAGTGATGACCTGGCCATTACAACTTCCAAGTGATGCTAGAACCCCTAGGCTCTGCAGGCAGGGAGGAGTCTGACTGATCATTGGAGGATAGTGGCACGTGATGACCTGGCCATTACAACTTCCACGTGATGCTAGAACCCCTAGGCTCTGCAGACAGTCTGACTGATCATTGGAGGAGTGGCACGTGATGAGTCTGACTGAATCATTGGAGGAGGAGTGGCATTGAGTGATGACCTGGCCATTACAACTTCCACGTGATGCTAGAACCCCTAGGCTCTGCAGACAGGGAGGAGTCTGACTGATCATTGGAGGATAGTGGCAAGTGATGACCTGGCCATTACAACTTCCAAGTGATGCTAAACCCCTAGGTTCTGCAGACAGGGAGGAGTCTGACTCATCATTGGAGGATAGTGGCACGTGATGACCTGGCCATTACAACTTCCACGTGATGCTAGAACCCCTAGGCTCTGCAGACAGGGAGGAGTCTGACTGATCATTGGAGGATAGTGGCAAGTGATGACCTGGCCATTACAACTTCCAAGTGATGCTAGAACCCCTAGGTTCTGCAGACAGGGAGGAGTCTGACTGATCATTGGAGGATAGTGGCACGTGATGACCTTGACAACTTGACCCACAACACCCATGATTATAATGTAGTACTATGATGATCTTTGTCAACTTTATTCCATTCAAATTACAACTATCTTTTGATTCCAATACATGTAGTTTCACCAAGATTCGTAGGGTCTGTCCACTCTCTAAGGCAATTTTGTTTTAGACCACATATTCCAGCTATTTGACAACAGCCTTTAAATGATTAATTCTGGAACAGCCAAGTGACTGATACCATGAGCAATGTACACTGTACAGGTACAATTCTAATGTGGAATCATCCTTGATTCCTTGGTATTGTTATGTGACGTCATTGTTCATGTATGTCTTGAAGAGGCTCATTCATTGGAGCTGAAAGCACTTATCTATAAAAGCAACAACTCAAATTAAGCTTATACATTTATCTGTACACTAGTGGTGTAACGATTCATCGATAGTATCGATGTTTGCATCGTCAACTACGCGATACGAGTGCAATGTTTCGATACAAAACACATTTAGGCAATATATCAGGATATTTATATCGCAAGGGTCCATGATACATCGATGTATCGACACAAGAGCTGATATATCCCGATACAACTTCAATACTAATTAAAGTTGTAAGGAGTATTGCATTAGGAATAGGAAGGGAGTCTCTTTGAAATCCTATGAATTTTAAGAACAACTTGAACCTTATAGGAATTTGTTTGTGTCTGCTGTCTTCGTTACATGAACAAAGGAGTTGGTGTATAAGTGAAAGAGTGTGAACATTTTTCAAACTCTGTGATCTGTAGAATACTTGTCTTCAAGTAATTAAAATACGTTTTAGTTGTTTGACAAATAGCCCCATTTATTAACAACTATGAATGATGTCTTAGCTTTGTTAAGAAAGAGAACAAAGAGAACATAAAATTCAGAAAGCATACTTAAGAGTTATTTTCAGTGATTCTGAATTCTGACATAATTACATTGAGTTGTTTGTGAAAGCATTGGTGCAGAAACTCAACTTCTCAAGGGAAACTTCAGTTTCAGTTTATATATATTAGATCAATGTATACTGAATATGTGTGACTGTACTTTCTTAAGCATTAAATGTTGAAACTTTATTAAATGAACAGCTCTTGAAGTGTGTGCGAATGTAACACAAGTTCTGGTGTATAACAAATAAAGTTTCAGTCATTTTATCTATCACATAAGTTCTCTTTTTAGAAATTGTAATGTATCGGGATACGTATCGTATCGCCACCATTGTACCGCGATGATAATTGTCTCACAGGTTCCTTGCCAATACTTTCATGATATATTGACTCGCCTCATTAAACTGGTATCGGTATATATCGTCTGGCCACTTAGGCCATGATACACAGCTCTTCTGTACACTGAGAGTTTTACTAACTCAGTGTGCTTACATTATTTAAAAACAGCTTTTGTAAGCAGTAAATTTAAATATTACACACACCACACAGAACCATGTGAGCTCCCATGATACCCTTGTCATAGTTATCAATTCAGGATGATTGTCGGAATGAACATTTAATTCCAAAGGCTAATTACCAAGTCTTGTTCACTTGTTTGCCATTAATTACGTAACGCTAATCCCATTGTTAATCCCCACAATAAACTGACTGCAAGCCATCTTGAAGGAGCTGAGCAATTAAGTTGCTCATTACAATTCAATTCTTTTGTTACTTTTAGCTGTACAGCTAATTGGTGATGAACCTGAAAATATACATTCTCAGTACAGACAAGGTGGCTGGTTTGGTACAATATATAAGCATAAGGAGAACATACAAACACATTCTACAATAAATTTAGTCTTAACTTTGAAGCCTTGAATAGAAATTTACCCAGATTCAGAGTTGTTTAACATTTTGGATACTTAAGAGCTGGATAAGTTTGAAAACTGGTGGATTTTTCCACTTAATGTACAATATACATTTAACAACCATTGTCCAGAGATGAAAATCAAGGAAGGTCTCTCCCTTAGCCCAGTTCTGTGGCACCAACCGCCCAGTTCTGTGACAACAACCGCTACCACTATGTTAACCTGTCACAGAACCCTTCTTGTGTTTTTTTGGCATGAATAGTAAACCACAGACTTCATGTTATCACTTCCTACCAGGTACCAGACACTGGTGCCTGTAACCCTTGCAGAATGCCTGTTGTAACCCTTGCAGAAAGCCTGTTGTAACCCTTGCAGAAAGCCTGTTGTAACCCTTGCAGAAAGCCTGTTGTAACCCTTGCAGAAAGCCTGTTGTAACCCTTGCAGAAAGCCTGTTGTAACCCTTGCAGAAAGCCTGTTGTAACCCTTGCAGAATGCCTGTTGTAACCCTTGCAGAATGCCTGTTGAAACACGAACCCAAGTTAAATGTTAAATGTCAACCTCGCTTGGTTATCTCAGCTCAGTGGATGACCTCCATGTCCAAACATGGTCACTGATTGGTCAATTAGAAGTAAGTCAGCCATTCACATTGAGTGTCATATTTTTTTAGAGGATCTGACAAGGAATCTGGATGAATGACAAATTGTTTATTTGAACTGATGCCATGCTTCCCGTATAGTTAGGCCTAATAAAAAAAATGTTCCGATTACCTGACCAACCCTTGAGTTTTGGTGCCGACCCTTTTTTTTTAAGCAATAAGAAAGTAAGATTGTTTATGGATAATGTCTTCTTTATTATATATGATTGCATCTTACTTTCTTATTACTCACCAACTTCAAAAATGCCAATCAAACAGATCTGTTTAAGCAGTATGTATGAATAAAATAAGCTTTCTGATACCATTGTTTTTTCCCTATCACCGACGGACATTGGTCATTCTGACAGAGAAAGTCGACATGATGGCTGCAAGCTTGATTGAATATACAATTACACATTGATAAATGTGTAATTAGTTTGTACTTTACTTGTGAAAAAGAATGAAAACATAAAATCCTACCTACCTTAAATATTAGAGAGGTGTAATGGGAAGTACAAAAAAAAAATTATTTGGCCTTATTAGAATTATTGCTTTCAACCTTCAGCATTTTCTGATATCACTTGTTTTCTGAATATCAGAACTAACAACTTTGATTCTGTGCAACACAATTGATTCATCATGGATGCTTACTGTAAACAAGAAAAACATAAAAATAGATAGTGCTACAATTGAATTGGGAATATCAGCCTCTAAACACATTCCTGAATTCCCATAAAAGGCAAAGCACACAACACTGACAGTTAACTAGTGCAAGGACGCGAGCTCACATCAAAGATTTACTCATCCCATTGACAGCGGCAACAAGTTTAGCAGATAATATGTTGAGTGTCAAGGACAGGTCCTGGGGCAGTTGATGGGATAAACTGTCATACAAACACACTTTCAGCAACCATCTGCTCACACAATGGCCCCAAGATAAGAGCATCTTAGAGATTATGGGAAAAGTGTATTTTCTGTTAAAAAACTGGACTATCAGAGACGATTATGTGTATATTTAGCACCTGATTTCATGTATTTAACTATTATATTACAATGCTGACATTCAGCAGAAAGGCAAATCTTCATTTTCGCTGGATGTGTTTTTACAATATTCTTAATACCCGAATTTGGCTCTTAAGCGTTATTTTTCTGCTGAACATAATACTTGGTCTTTTGTTAGCTGAGCTTATGAGACTGAATAAATTGTTATAAAGGCGTCAGACTGGTGGATACAGTAGCAGATATGTATCTAATTTGAAGTAATTTCCAACCGGGAGACATTTCTATTGAGATTTTTATGCATGTGTTGCTAATAAAAAGCTGGCAGCAAAGAAGTAATTTTTTAATATTGTGCATGAGAATGTTTCATATCATTTTTGTAAATATTTACTGATTGGACAATTATGTGGTAATGTCAAAATGAATTGAGTCATTCAAGATTATTGATACAGACTGCTGCCATATGTCTGGAATATTGCTTAGTGCGGCGTAAAACTAAACTCACTCACTCAAGATTACTGATTTTATACAGAGCCTCGCCTACCTCACTCTGACACCTATACTGACTCGAAGCCAGTCCTTGTTGTAACTCTTTATCCCCTCCCACTAGGGAACTGAGTACTATCTTTAATGTCTTTTGGTATGACCTGTCCAGGAATTGAACCACTGTCTTCTGCGCAGAGACTCTATCCACTAGACCATGGAAGCTGTCAAAGCAATATACAGAAATAAACAAGTGCAAGGAACACTGTTATGAACCCCAAATATGGTCGATTTTACATGAGAAAGTATTTTCCTTGCATAAATTATTTCCCAGTTACCAAAAAAGTTTGAATGCTTTGTGCTACTGTGAAATTGATCGCGGACAGAATCAAGACATGTATGAATATCTCAGATAATGAGATAGATCTCTGAGACACATACAGCAAATACCACTTAGCGTAAGAACAGCACTTTACTGAAAAAAAGGTCCAAGAAAGGTAAAATGTACGTGACTGCCGTATAAATACCTTCAGGGGACAGATAAAATAGGAACGTTTTTAGCTTTACGGGTAGATTAATACAAAGCTGTTCCGTTCAGGTATAACACATGTGTTGCTTGGTTTGCATATGAATATGAATGTTAAAGTATGATCCTACGAAACCTGTTAGTCACAGCTATTCAAGCTCTCTTCGAATTTCCCAGTGGAACGACTTTGTTTTGGAAATGTGCAATCGCTCTCTACTTCCGGTGCCGAGCCTCGTTCAGATATTGTTGTTGAAATAAAACTAATAAAAGTTGCGTTTTCGATCAGATGGACAGAAATTCTAATTTTACGAACGACAACGAAAGCGTTTTCGGATTTAATCAATTTCGACCTCAAAGTCTATTATGTTATGCTCTGAGCATATAAAATTTCATATGGGACAGCAAAAGATAACACGTATGAAAAATAGATGTTCCTTTTAAGAAAGTGTTTGAACAGTGAGAAAGGGAGATAATCCTGGCTACCACCTCACCATAAATCGGTGGAAGTAGAAATCTTGGGCCGAATTCTGCCCTTAAATATCAATAGAAATCTCATAGACATTACCACTGGGGCATTAAGACCACACCTGGGTCAATTTAACAAAAAATCCGGGAAATGTTTACCAAAATCCTGGGGCATTTTGTAGCTGGGGATTTGACTGGTACCCGTGGGTTGCCTAGTGTTTAAAGAGTTCGCACGTCAAGCCGAAGATACGGTTCCGATTCCCCACATGGGTACAATATGTGAAGCCTATTTCCGGTGTTCCCCGTCGGGATATTGCCGGAATCTTGCTAAAAGCGGAGTAAAACCAAACCCACTCACTCACTCTTAATACCGTGGAGATGGTATGTCTCATCGTGTCGGGGGACAACAGGGTGGGGACAAGGGCTTTGTTGTTTATCTGCATGTATAATTTCTTGAGAGTTGTTACAGTGCCGCAAAGAGTAAGTCCGGGATTGCGATCCATGTCTTGCCACAATAGAGATACAAAAGGGACGAAAAATAATCTTGTATTTGCAGAATGTACGGAGGGGAAACCCTGTATGTTTATACAAACTATAAGTGCTTTGTTCCTCAAGTAACAATCAAGTTGTAGTAAAGTTCCAATTATCTGTAGCTATATCTACGGGTGTTTCATCCGAAAGTAAGAGTCATCTAAGACCTATGTAATGATTCACCTAAAACGTCTCGGGAGATTAAGTTTGGACAATGTCGGCGGGGTACCCGTGCCAGTATGTCTATGCAAATATTACGCCTTGGTGCGTGTGTGACGGCCATCTTGCCATGCCTGCTATGCAATCTGTTCAGCTAGACTGGAGGCCCGCCTCCAGGGTATACTCACTATATAGTGACTAGCAGTTCGTATCTTCCTCACCACTGCCCCATCTTGGTTCGCCATACTGTCGAATTATTTCATGTTTCCCTTGACCACTATGCCCACTCCGACCCAAGGCCAGGTTACGCAGGCAATATCTTACTACATATATATACTAATCCCCAGACTTAATAAAGAATAATTTGTATGTCATGGTTCGCGAGCTATAAATCGAACAACAAACACAACCAGTAGGTATAGATGAAAGACTTTCGCCGGGAACGCTGATGCACGTTTGTTGTGGTCCACTGACTGACAGCCAAGGATATGAAACACAAATTGTGAAACACAGCATGCATCTGTATTGCTATGGTCCTCGTCAGTATTACGACTAAAATAATTTTTAGGTGATGTTCTACTTATTGGGGATACCCGTGAAAATCCGGGTTGAACTGTTTTCACCAACATGAGCCTGTGGTAAGAGGCGACCTATGGGATCAGGTGGTCAGGTTCACGGGTTTGGTTGATGCATGTCATCGTATCCCAATAGCGCAGATCGATGCCAATCTCAGGATTGTCTGGTCCAGACTCGATTATTTACATACTGCTCTTATATGGCTGGAACACTGCTCAGTGCGGCGTTAAACAACAAACAAAATATAAGAACTTTCGGCTACCCTTCCTAGTGTCAGTGAGTGAGTGTAGTTTTACGCCGCACTCAGCAATATTCCAGCTATATGGCGGCGGTGTGTAAATAATCTAGTCTGGACCGGACAATCCAGTGATCAACAGCATGAGCATCGATCTGTGCAATTGTCAACCGATGACATGTGTCAACCAAGTCAGCGAGCCTGACCACCCGATCCCGTTAGTCGCCTCTTACGACAAGCATAGGTTACTGAAGATCAATTCTAACCCAGATCTTCATGGGTTCCTACAAGAGTGGTCAAGTCGTCCCAGACGCTGCTATATGCTATGAAGGTTTACGGTCTCTTACATGCCAGAATCGTATGGTCGCGGGTTGGAATCACAGATCTGGCATGAGCAGGAATCGTTGTCGGCGCCGTAAACGTCGGAGACATTTGTCATCTGGGACTTTTCTCTCGCTTCAAATTGACACGCCATGATGTAACTGAAATACTGTTAGGTCAGGGTTGCAGCTCAAAGCGGCTTTTAAAAAAACGCTCTCTTCCGCATCGCCATTTAATCTTCAGAATTGCGGACTTGAAAATCATAACAGCAGCATATAAGTAGAGTTTTAAAAACGTTTTGTCACTTGTGATACGTGTTTTCAACAAGCAATGTACCTGAAAAGACCAGATTGGATGTAGATCTCATGGTTGGTACTTATTATCCTCCCCTCAGCTCGGCAGGTATAATGTTCCACCTGATCTCTTCTGCACGTGTGTAGAAACATGGATCCAGAAGGTGCCTGGCAGTGAAGGAACTAACTCCATTGTCTCCCCCTTAACCCCAGGCATCTTCACAAGGTGAGTTGACACGACGTTAGGGGGGATCGTTTTCAGGGGATAATTGGATGTTTACTGAGCTTCTATAACTGTCATGTTGTTATCTGGTTATCATTCCGCCTGAACAGGGGGTACCGACGCATTACTCACCAGTCATTGAAATATGGACGAACGCCAAGTAAACCCCAGATGTAGGCAGAATTATGTCTCCTCCGCTCCTCCTACATCATAAGCATACTCTTGCACGTAGGTGTGTTTCATGTGATTCTGTTGTCAAGCATGCTAGGGTCGAATAACTTGAGGCATTATCCCTGGGTCAGCGCGTAGTAACACAATATGTGTACAATTCAGTTACAGTATGGAGAAAAGGAAAATGGAGATTTGAATGTGTTGCATGACCTTGCTTGCCTTTTAGAAATTGTAAAATGATCTTATCTGGGTTTAATTAAATGATGAAAATATGGAAACTGTGTCAGGGAGGTCTGGGTGTTAGTGTGTTACCCAACGCGTTTCAGTCATATAGGCAGCGTCATGAACTGCCGGGACACGTGGGCAACATGTGACCTTCAACGTGGACGACAATGGGATCACTTTACATCATTGAAACACCCACTTTTCTTCTAGACCTACCTGTACGATAGATGATTACCCTATGCAAGTGTTACACATTCCTACTGCTTGTTGTTTATACCTAACTATATAACCTAAATCGCACCTGATACGTGATGTAAAATGTTACGAGAACACGCGCTGGTGATTGCTAAATGCAAGATGTGGGCACACTCTAAAGTACATGCCACCTGGACTTCTCACATCCGGTCCACAACTGATGATTTACAGACCGCCCTCATATGTCGGGAAAAGTGCTTAGTTCTACGTAAAACAAGACCAAACGTCTTCTTCAACAACGGAGGATTGCTGTCACAATATCTCGGCAATGTTGTTCTTTCCTGCAAACTGACCACTCAACGCCGTCACCCTCGTCGAGACCGAATGCAGTATTCATATTTAACCTAAACGTATGCATAGAGAATGGTACATAACCTGTTAGTTTTATAGACAGAATATATATGATGTTTGATGGGTTATATGTGCCACGTGTAATGGGCAAAAATATTTCATGCCTGATGGGTAATATGTATCACGCACGCAAGCACGTACACACGCACGCACACCTACCTGCATGTGTGGGCAACCACATACAGATATGATTGCTACTTACATAATGTACGTTGGACAAATTGTATGATGTGAGATGAGCAGTAAATGCGATGTTTGATGAACTACGTTTTCGATTTGTGATCAGCAATGTATACAATGTGTGAAAAGCAATATGTTATTTTATTGTTGTTGAATACCACGTATGAATGGAATATATAATAATGCCACCACGGATCTTATATATGTACTACTGTACGCTCGGTATTCTCATCACTTTCTTTATATATATATATATATTACTATATGTATATATATATAAGAGTGCATAAGGTTGAAGGTCCAAATCCCAAGGTCATATATATATATATACGTGTTACTCTACATCTCAAACAGACCGCATTCTCTCCTTTGTTGTTCGAAAACCCAGTCCAGCGTGAAATTGAATGTAGGAAACATTAGTATCAGCCACAAGAAAACAGACACGCCCTTTGGGATCACCATCAGCCTGTGCTTGGCCACATGAGTGATTCCATGCCCCTGTGATACGGATAACTGTACAACTGGCGCAACTTTCCTTGCATTACCGTTGGGGAGATGAGTGGCGAGGGCACCTGTCCTCTTCAGCTAAGGGTGACCCATGAGTGAAGGGGTAACCGCCCCCTTTACACGGGGTAGAGTGAGTGAGTATTACTTAACGCTGCAGTTTAAGAACACCCTATTCATCCTTACCCAGAAACAAACCTTGGGATGCCATATAGTTGCATCCGCATCCACGACGACGCTAATGGTGGCGACGTTGACAACAGGAAATCTCCTTGCATGCGGGAATATTGGCAAGACGAAACCACCTGGTCTGAGAGTTACAGGGATGTCGTGACGCTGGTGGGAGGATGTCGTGACGTTGGTGGCAGGGTGTCGCCTATATTACGATCGGCCCATCGTTATTTCCTAAGCAACTAAAAATTCTGAATGGAAATATAATTGCTAAAGTGTTTGGTGACCTGTTGAATTACGTCAGTCTTCTATTGCTGTTTGCTGCCTTGTTTTGAAGCCGAGTAACACACGACGACTGGTCTTGGCGCTGATCCTGTGTGGATGAGGATCATCCTGATCACATGACGCTATAACAGCATGGAACTTAGTGCTAGTGCGTACTATAAGCAGGTTAACCGAACGTCTCTGCTCCAGAACCAGGCAGTACAAAACCCTCATGCTGCCACATTTGTCGCATAAATGATCTTTTTTCAGCAAAATGTCCAATAGCTTCGATTACTTTTTGATTGCTTTTCTGATTCTTTCAATTATTTTCATGAAATTTCGAGTGCTTTCTCGCTAGTTCAAGTTCTAAAGAAACTTGAAAAAAAGACAATATTCTCGAAAATTGTAGAAAATAACCGAAATAACGAGAATAAAACTTGAAGCATCTGTTAATTTTGATTGAAAAGGTAATTTGTAATGCAACAGTGTTAGAATTAGGCTTTCGTACGGGAGCACCATCGGAATACCATCAGGAGTACCATCGAGAGAACTATCGGAAGTGCCATCTGGAGCACTCGGGAGTACCATATGGAGTACCATCGGGAGTACCATGGGGAGCACCATCGGAAGTACCATCGGGAGCACCATCGGAAGTGCCATCGAGAGAACTATCGGAAGTGCCATCTGGAGCACTCGGGAGTACCATCGGAAGTAACATGGGGAGTACCATATGGAGTACCATCGGGAGTACCATGGGGAGCACCATCGGGACCACCATCGGAAGTAACATGGGGAGCACCATCGGGAGCACCATCGGAAGTAACATGGGGAGCACCATCGGGAGGACCATCGGAAGTACCATCGGGAGCACCATCGGAAGCACCATCGGAATACCATCAGGAGTACCATCGGGAGCACCATCGGAAGTGCCATCGAGAGAACTATCGGAAGTGCCATCTGGAGCACTCGGGAGTACCATATGGAGTACCATCGGGAGTACCATGGGGAGCACCATCGGAAGTACCATCGGGAGCACCATCGGAAGTGCCATCGAGAGAACTATCGGAAGTGCCATCTGGAGCACTCGGGAGTACCATGGGGAGCACCATCGGAAGTAACATGGGGAGCACCATCGGGAGGACCATCGGGAGCACCATCGGAAGCACCATCGGAAGTGCCATCGGAAGTACCATCGGGAGCACCATCGGAAGCACCATCGGAAGTGCCATCGGAAGTACCATCGGGAGTACCATCGTGAGTACCATCGGAAGTGCCATCGGGAGCACCATCGGGACAGATGGCATGTTTCTGATGTGGGAACCAAACGTAAGGACCGACTGACCGTACGGAACGTGTCAGGTTCGCTGACTTGTTTCATGCATGTCATCGTATCCCAATGACGTAGATTGGTGCTCATCGTGTCAGTCACTGGATTGTCTGGTCAGGTCCTGACTCGATTATTTACATACGGAATATCTGTGAGTGCGACGTTAAACAAACAAACAAACAAACTGACTGGGGTCACAAGATGATCTCCGTTAGCTGCATGGAGGGACGCAGAAGTACCCAGCGACCTCCCCTCAGTCTCATGCCCGGCGGCATGATGCCCGTTCACGGTGACGTCATGTACGTCATGTTACAACTTCTAATCAAGTAGAAACACACCTGAAAGTAGCATCCAGTTAAACACAATTGGTGTAGATCTGTCGCGTGGATGTAATCAGCTTTCATGTATCAGCCATTGTTATTGATTTCAAGGGGAAACTCTCCATCATTGAGACAGGCCCCAAACAAGCTACACACACGCCAATCTGCAGGGTCGTGCAAGGAAACAGCCAAGTGGAATAGTTTTTTCATAATTCGTATTTCTATCTCCACAGTGAAGAGTCTTGTTTTCAATTAACACTTAGCTGTTATTGAGGTGTAGCCGAATGTTTGGCAAATCCATGTGTAGTTTCTCCACTAGTCAAACGGGCTGGATGGCAATGAGACGTGGCTGGGCTAATAAATACACATTTACAAAATTGTCTCATTTCTTTAAATACATTGCGCAATAGATTCAAATCTGCCACTGAACCCCCCTTGGCTCCGTCGACGCAAATTATTTTTTTCAATGTGGTCTTAAGTCATTTTCAAAGGGGGTCTTTCTGCAGTATCCCATGCTTGTCTACCCGTGAAGATCCGGGTTAGACTTGATCTGCAGTAACCCATGCTTGTCTACCCGTGAAGGTCCGGGTTAGACTTGATCTGCAGTAACCCATGCTTGTCTACCCGTGAATATACGGGTTAGAATTGATCTGCAGTCAGCAATGCTTGTCTACCCGTGAAGATCCGGGTTAGAACTGATCTGCAGTAACCCATGCTTGTCGTAAGAGGCGACTAACGGGATCGGGTGGTCAGGCTCGCTGACTTAGTTGACACATGTCATCGTATCCCAATTGCGTAGACCGATGCTCATGATTGCTGCATTATTTGGTCCAGGCTTGATTATTTACAGACCGCCGCCATATAGCTGGAATATTGCTGAGTGCGGCGTAAAACTAAACTCACTCACTCATGCAGCTTCAGATCATAGTTGAACCTTGAACCAACTTCAACACACGTGTCCATATCTCATCTTGTAGTGTATTCAGTGTTCACTTGCCAGCTATCATCACTATCCAACTTCTTCATTTGTCTGTCAGTCTTGTAGCTCATTGTTGAAAGGACGATAATATTACATTGTCATAGCTGACGGTAAGATTTCCCGACAGCCTGGTTAAACATCCCTAAAGTATTTCAAACATACCACATATTAAGTCAAGCGTTAAAACAAGATGTTGTACCTCAATTAACAGCCACATAAACTCTTAAACATCTGGCATGGTTGTCGAATAATAATATTGTACAATATCGTCCACAATATGGTGTTAAACAGCGATAACATCACAACACACAAAGTACCTGTGTGGGGGCACTCAGCCATGTATAAGCCGGCAGTACTCGGCGTGCCTACTGTGTCATACTTCCATCAAGGTCGCCGGTGTTCCATGACCGTCAGTCATACGTAGTGTAACTCAGGTTACATGTATAGGAGATAGTTGTGACCATATTGAACACAGAGAAACCCTTGTTTCATGTACAGGAGACAATATTGCTCACAAATTATCCCTTGTGCCATGAACAAGAGATATATAAGACCTTTTTTATCCCAGCCTGAAGACGTCAAGCTACATGTACAGGAGGTACAGGGAACCCTGATTATCCGGACACCAGGTATCCGGGAACCTCCACTTCCGGACGATATATACATGACACGAAGAACATACTGCATGGAATGTTTTATCCAGGAATCCGGTTTCCGGATCAGGACAGAGAATTTCAATTACCAACAGTGTAAAATACAACAACCGGAACCACTTCTGCGCATGTCGAATCCAATAATAAATATACAACCACGTTTTCACTTCCAGCGGATATTTGTTAAATTCGCTCTTAAAGTCACGATACGGTATATATAACTGCAGCCAGGGTTCAAAAGTTGTTTTACAGAAATCTTGCATAAACAGACCCTAGCATTAAGTCACTCAAAATAGTTTTAGAAATGTATATTTTAAAAAGTTGAGTTAAAACAGAACAAGCGTCTACCCTCGTCGGTGTACGCCTTCTGACTGAATCAACTAGCGCTCTTTCTAATTGCAATTACTCATTTCTATTGTTGTGTGTGTGTGTGTGTGTGTGTGTGTGTTCTCAAAACTAACAGGAAATGAGTGAGTGAGTTTAGTTTTACACCGCACTCAGCAGTATTCGACGGTATGTAAATAATCAATTCTGGGCCAGACAATCCAGCGGTGAACAGCGTGAGCGGCGCTCTACGCAATTGGGATACGATGACATGTGTCAACCAAGTCAGCGAGCCTGACCACCCGATCTCTTACGACAAGCACGGGTTACTAAAGATCAATTCTAACCCGGATCTTCACAGAAGATCAGAAACAGAAAACGGAATGTACAGACTATTGTGTCCACAATTATAGATTGGTGGATGTGTATCTAGTGTCATGAAATATCACGGATAAATCGACAGTTCGAACAGGGGCCTGCCCTTAGATTTTGACCAGCCCTTATTAGAGGTGAGGTGAAATTGGGTTTAACGTCGTGCTTGAGAATATTTCGCTCATATGACGACGTGCATGCGTGTGTATGTGTATGTGCGGCTGCTTGTACTAGCCCAGACTGAAGCTGGTTTTATAGTGCTAGCCCACTGAGATACCATGCTGCAGTGAAGCATGAATACTGACTCCGAGCCGACCAGTCCTTGTTGTACCCATTAATGCCGAGCGCCAGGCAGGGACCAACAAGTACCATATTTTAACGTCTTTTGGTATGACGCCGTCGGGGATCGAACCCGCGACCTTCCGCTCTCCGGGCGGACGCTCTAACCACTACACCACGGAGGCGGTCAGCCCTTATTAGAATACGCATATGATATTGCAAGGGTTCACAAACATTATCAGATTTTTTTGTTTGTTTGTTTCTTGAGGCCATATTCCAGCTATGTAACGGTGGTTTGTAAATAATCAATTCTTGAACAGACAACCCAGTCACTGACATCACGAGCATTGATCTACGCAACTGGGATACGACCTGCATCGACCCCGTAAGCGAGCCTGACCGCCCGATCCCGTCAGTGCCCCTTTAACACAAGCACGGATCGCTGAAGGCCAATTCTAACCCGGATCTCCACGTGCTCCAGGTACCTCACCTCACTTGGATATATGTCGGATCGTGATACCAAGTTTATCAATGGTTTAAATAACTCAAGTCTTTCTATGATATAATTCTTTTTTTACAATTACAGTCACGTTTTCTTGTAGATACAACGATGAACTATCTTCAAGGGTAGAGAAATACTCATTGCCAATATTGTATTACAGACAGACACTACAAATCATCATCTGTTCTGTTCGTAACCAGGTGGTGTATCTGCTATACCATGTACCCATGGACTCATGCAGCACTCTCTAAAATATCCCCCCTCTGCGGGTGCTGAGAGAATGCATTGCGGACTCGGGCTCAACCCATATCCACTCACCCACTCCACTCTCCACGTTGAGGGTCTTCCTGCGAAGATCGGGAGGGTGCGGGACATTTTACGTGAGCTTCTAAAGCATCCATTAAACTTGGTTGTTTCTTGTTAATGGCCTACAAAGCCTCAGTATGACGGCGGTCTTTAATTAATAAAAAGGCATGGGATGTTGAAAGCAGTGATTGAAAGTATGAGCGACGGCAGACACTACCAACCAAATGACCGAGCCTGGCTAGTGAGAGAGCTATATTAACTTATAGTTCCTAAAGCCAGACACACCTTAATTCCTGCCTGGAGCTGTCCCTCTACAATGTGTTTTGTCACGGTTCATAATGAGTGGCCGAAACATATCTGTATAATTTGGCGCAACATATTACATTATGCGGTGTTTAATAATACAGAAAATAGTTTTCATATTCAGTTTCTAGCTACTTCAATGAGTTAACATTACGTCTTTAACATCCGTTTTTTTTCAAATTCAGTCTGCTTGGTTCATGTCATCATACACCGACGGTGTGGGGCGTCCTTTGTGGTATCAATCACTGGTTTGAGTGGTCGAGAGAGGATGATTTACAGGCCTCCGTTATATAGTTTAACTTTTGTTGTGCGTGTCGCTAAAACACACTAAACAAGAACACACAGTTGTACGTGAAATTGTTCGAAGCGGCATGACAATCATCACTTGTAGGAACGATAACTCGTGTACGTGTTATGACGCGTTGAGTGCAGCACTGTGACAGAGACGAACCCACAACATGGGAGGTTGGATCGATCGCAAACGGATGCCTCTATAGGGATCGGTTAAGGGGCTATATGGAAACAAAGGCGTCTCATCCTGTAAAAGGGCAGTTTTTTCCAGTGAAATATCTTCGCTAAATCAGTTTCCCCACTGCCCGGTTCCTGTGTGGATGTCCGACTGTGAAGGAGGAAAACAGACGACGTGACCCCGGCTGATCAAGACTGACACAACTGAAGCATATTATGGAGCACAGACTAGGTAAAAAGACCCAACCATTTGACCTTACAATCAACAATTTCATGAAATGGACTAAATCGATAAAAAAGAGTCGAAAATCGGACGATCATGAGACTTTTACGGTCAAGTCAAAGCTTGCCCTGTCTGCCTTTGTAAACAGCTTGATCAAGTCCCACAAAACAGAGCTCGTTCGTGCCAACGGAGTAACTTGCACCAACTACACACACAATTCCTTGTATATTGCGTTAAGACTTTGCTATGAGCTAGATTTGAGATCTCAAAAGGTCGTGAGTGAGCTTATTCGAGAAATTTTTCTGTGCGAAGGAAATCTTCATGCTATTTTTAGCATCATCAACGAAAGTCACGTGACCATGGGATTCCCAAGAAGTGGGTCGCTGAATATCCACTCTTTCACGTTGTACCCGAGAGCAACTTCTAACAACTTCAGTGACATTGTCATTCCAGCCTTGACATATTATGTTCAAAATAGTGTTAATCTCGAGAAAGATATACGGGAAAATAATTTATCGCAGTACAACTACAAAAGCAAGATCTTTCCTAACCCAACCTATGGGTGAAGATCAAACTTTGTCACCCTTAATGGCTGCTACGATGAGGAAAGAGCCTGAACTGGTCTTGATGTTGCTAAGGTACGGTGCGGATCCAACAGTTGCTATGGACCCTGACAGCGTTTCCCTTACAGTCAATCCAATTCAGTATATTGTCACATGCCTCAACAGTTTCACATCAATACGATCTTCTTCCTGGTTGGATAAGTACCATTACTCTGACAGTCTCATGGCTGATGGTGAGAGATGCCACAAAATATTAGAACTGTTTCAGCGATCAGTCCATCACATCCATTTACAAGTCTCCTCGGGAGTGTTGGGAGATAATGACAATGATCTCACTTACTACCTGCATCCGAAACTGACAGCTTTGGCACAGAATAGTGCCACGCCTACCCTACAACACTTGTGTCGCTGTGCGGTCCGCAGACATCTAGCAGCAGCGTCATGTGAAACAATTCCAGATGCAATCAAATGTCTTCCTCTTCCACAACTTATGAAAGAGTTTTTGGATTTGAAAAGCTAGCTATTTTTAGACAACTCAAATGAAATTTCCATGAAGACATACATACTGTTGACATAAAGTTAAACACACTGTATAGAAACTCCAGAGCAATTCAGTAACTTGAACCATTTGTCATTACATAATGGAACTGATGCATACAAATATATGACCCATGCATTTGATATAAACATTTAGAGTTTTAGCCATCAAATAAAGATTTCTCATTAATCCGGGTGTATAGGATGTCTCATACAGGATGTACATATATTCACCTTCATCTTATGGCATAGAAGAAACCTTTTTGATCGTGCATTCATATGTAACAAATTTATCATAACAAATTTAAAAGTCATAATATATTGAAAAATAGCTTTGTGTCGCAAGTATGGTATTCATCTTAAAGTATGATACATTCATCGTCAAGTGAGTGAGTGAGTATACTTTTACGCTGCTTTTAGCAATATTCCAGCAATATCACGGCGGGGTACACCAGAAATGGACTTCACACATTGTACCCATTTGGAGAATTGAACCCGGGTCTTCGGTGTGACGAGCAAATGCTGAACTTGAAGTATGGCAGCTGATTCTCATATGATACAGTCAACTAGGACACGTCTAACAAGTAACAGATAAATGCACTGTATGTTCTATGTTGATTTCTATCTAAATATTCCAACTTGAGTAGCACTCTTGACAGCCATACAATTGTTTTGTTTTGTACAACCTGTACTGTGCCCGAATGAATGACATTCAGTGAAAGTTCATCCACCCTCTGTATGCTGACTGTTATAGTCCTGTGAATATGCATGACACACAGTAGATTAACAATACACTCATACATATGTATGTTCAAACAACAAGTGTTTTCCTTCTGTGTTATTTGTTATCAGTTTCCTCATCCACTGGTTACATTTGCTACAATCTTACTTCTTGAAGATGTTCAGCACACACTCCATATAGCACCTGCCATGTGGAGATATCACATGAAAACTAGTTTTTGAATGAAACTACATAAAATACATTTGATAATTTTTATGAATGTTATTTATGTACCGGGTAAATAATTTATTCGAATGAAAGATGATATTTTTGTTTGTATTTTGTATAACTTATATGATTTGATGTTCAATGTGACAGAGATAGACACACTTGTAATAGTAATACCAAACTAGTCCACAGATCATTTTGGAGTAAGTGTTACGGAATTGACAACTGATAAAAACAACTAGTCTGACTTGATAATCACTAGTCTGGGGTTAAAGGCTAGCAGCTGTGTCTATTTCTGATGTTGTTTTCTTTGCTGTTGTTTTTAATAATAAAATTGTAAATATAATATATATTTATGAAACCAATTGACAAATATGAGCTATTGCTCAGTAAGATGTCGCATAAGTATGAAAGAACTGAACTCTGGGGTATTTTTAAAAACCTGAATCTGCCTTGCCCTCTCTAACTGTTTCTGTTCCTACCTGTATGTGTTTCTGTCTGAATGCGTCTGAATGTCTGTGTTTCCGCTTGTAGATGTGTCTGAATGTCTGTTTCTGCCTGTATGTCTTAATGTCTGTTTCTGTCTTTATGTGTCTGAATGTCTGTTTTTGCTTGTAGATGTGTCTGAATGTCTGTTTCTGTCTGAATGTCTGTTTCTGTCTGATGTGTCTGAATGTCTGTTTTTGCTTGTAGATGTGACTGAATGTCTGTTTCTGTCTGAATGTCTGTTTCTGTCTGAATGTCTATGTTTTTGCTGGTAGATGTGTCTGAATGTCTGTTTCTGTCTGAATGTCTATGTTTTTGCTGGTAGATGTGTCTGAATGTCTGAATGTCTGTTTCTGTCTGAATGTCTATGTTTTTGCTGGTAGATGTGTCTGAATGTCTGTTTCTGTCTGAATGTCTGTTTCTGTCTGAATGTCTGTTTCTGTCTGAATGTCTGTTTCTGTCTGAATGTCTGTTTTTGCTTGTAGATGTGTCTGATTGTCTGTTTCTGTCTGAATCTCTGTTTCTGCTCGTAGATGTGTCTGAATGTTTGTGTTTCTGCCTGTAGATGTGTCTGTATGTCTGTTTCTGCTTGCATATATGTGTCTGAATGTCTCTGTTCCTGTCTGAATGTTTTTGTACATCTCTGTCCATGTTCAAGTGATCCTGACACAGAGGTTCAAGTCAGACTGTCACGTTTCCAGGGTGCCCTTGTACAAAGCTATCTTAGCGTTAAGGTGACCGTAACTCCCATACCTTAACATGGACTTAAGGTAGTCTTAGCGCTAAGGTGGTTTTGTACAACGGCACCCAAGACTGTAGTGGATGGAGACCACTTGATTCATGTAACTGCCAACTTGATTATTCACACGATACTGCCAATGAATTTGCTGTGCAATTGAATGTTTGAATAAAGATTGTTATCATGTGATGATATCCTTGTTTCCTTAGTGAGATGACGGTGAAACAGAGTGAACATATATGAAGTTTGGTTGGTTGTTGTTTACGCCGCACTCAACAATATTCCAGCCATATGGCGGCGGTCTGTAAATAATCGTGTCTGGACCAGGTAATCCAGTGATCAACATCATGAGCATCGATCTACGTAATTGGGATACAATTTGGTGTCAACCAAATCAGCAAGCCTGACCACCTGATCCCGTTAGTTGCTGTTAGCAATATTCCAGCAATATCGCAGCGGGGGGACACCAAAAATGGGCTTCACACACTGTACCCATATGGGGAATCGAACCTGGGCCTTTGGCGGGACAAGCGAATGCTTTAACCACTAGGCTACCCCACCACCCCTTATCAGTTAGATAAATAGAGATTATTAACTAAGTGTGTTTCCATATCATTAATATCATCTATTAGGAATAAAAATTGTATTATGCGAGCCTTTGGCTCCTAATATTATGATATTAATGACACGGACATACACAAGGTTAATAATCTCTTTATCATATAATGTCATTGTTAAAATTACTCAAGAAGCAAGAAAAAGAAGCAACTCGTATCTGAATTTATATATGAAGAGAATCAAGTATTCGCGTAAGAATACTTAGCGGTACGCCAAGGTGAAGGTCGTTCATGACGGCGGCATATTGTTGTGACCAGTCATTAATACAATGCAAACATAACTCATGCCTAAAATAAGATCTTTCTGTCTAGAAAGAAACAACAAAATTGGGCAAGGTTTTCTTGGAAGTGTTTCGGGTAATCACCTCATCCATATCAGTTTCTAATAACTGACGGAATCAATTCATAATCAATTCTTTGTTGTGATCGATAGATCGAAATCCTTGGTTGGTACCTTTCTTAGACTATTGCCTGTCACTTGTGCCTCATAATCCGTACCTTCAATTTGAATGAAGTTCTCGGTTTCATGTTTTCCAAAGTCAAGTACTGCAGTAATGACTCCAGAACCTCTGTCATCAATTCTTACAGAATCACCAATTTTGATAATGGGGGCAGCCATGTTTGTTCACAAACTCGTCCACGCAATGTAAACTCACGATGACGTCTTCAATGAAATGTTAACGTTTTAGGATTCGCATGGCTTGTATGGATTTTTGAGAAAGTAGTTCGTGGATTGACGTAATTTGCATAGTTATCAAATTTGGATACCAAGTTTATCAGATTGCTTTATTGCACCGATAACACCCTCCATTAGATGATAAAAATCACAAATTCACATTTCATACCAGTGTCTTCCAAAATACCAAGGTCAAAATATAATAATTTGAAAAACCAACATTATGACCTTCAAAGTGGCCTTGACCTTTTACAGTCATGATTTACAATTTTATGGCTGAAATACTGCACCCAAAGTGGAAAGCCCAGAATCTTTTACTAAAGTACTGTTGGAAATAGAAAAAAAACTTTTTTCGCATTGATATCCACAATTTATGTAGTTAATATGTGTAAGTGCGAAATATCTGTTAAACTAAGTTCGGCCTAACTACAGTCTCAGTGGTAGGGGGATTGGAAACGTAGAAAAAGGACTTAACTGAGGAGAGATTATTTGCAGAAATGAGAAATGCATTATTTTTCTAAGTCCAAAGAGACTTTTTAAGAACACACCATGGCTTTATGCAAATTAGTGTGCGATGATATTATATTACAAAGGACAATTTTTAAATGTCCATTTAGAAATAAAACTTAGCTTCATTATAAACGATAGCTGACGTAGAAAATAATAACTTTAATACTGAAACTATGAAGGATGTAGCTACCATGGAGTCTCACTATCACTATGAAAATAAACAGGTAGGAGGGTCGTCTCAAAAGCAAACCCAGGATGGGTGTCGCAGACGGTGGTTAGGGTCGGGCTGGGGGATAGAGATATAAGCTGAGATAAGATAATCCTTTAGGGGAATTAAACTGGGAAGCAAACGGCATGTCATAACAATTTACAATTATTGTCACTAAGGTGACATAATCCCCCGCCGCAAATTATCAAATCAAACTTATAAAGTAATGAAAGTTTAAGATGAAGTTAAATGTCAACAAAAACATGACCAGTCAACCTCTCTTGATATCTCGCTCTTTAGTTGTTCAAACACACACATATTTGACTGACCTTGACCTTGACATGAACGTCATAGTGTATGAAATATGCAAAAATAGTACTAAAGAAATTGCTTATTGAAAAACATTCAAGGGAAGTCTTGAAAGTCTATGAAGAAAATCCAGTGAAGGGTCATTCTCAAAAAAAGGCCAAATTCGTGCTATGAAAAAATATGAAAATACAAAGCATCATACTGAATTAATCATTATTGTTTTGAATGGTCAACACATTAAAAAATGCGGTCATGATCATTTGCACACAAGAAAGTAATAAAATATTTTTAAAATAAACTTTTTTAAAGTATCCACTGAAAAAACCCGTCAGTGGTGTAACAAGCATAAAAGTATTCTTTTTTCAAACTTTGATGTCAGATAAGGAATTTTTCACATTTGTCATTATTTACAAACTTTTTCAATTTTCAAATATAAATTAAATCGTTTCATTATTCTCACATATTTAATTGTAAATTTGGCAAAAAGGGCTTGGTGTGAGAAGAATGTAATGGTAACATATGATATTTATTTCTGAAATAACTTGTATACTTAAGACTGAACATGTTTTCTGCATACAGTGGTATTAAAGCTGTTTTCAGTTATCATAAAATATCAGTCTAACTGTTAAATTATTCTTTTGAAATAATTAAATGTTAGCAAATATGCATGTTACACCACTGATATTTTTTGATATCCTGCCTGTTACACCACTGAACTTTCTGCAACTTACTGGAACAGTAAACCAAATCAACAGCCATATGATGCTTTGGATTACTTAATATTCATCATTGGAGAACGGCTTTCCAACATGTGGCATTGGAAAACAAATGATATCAACAGTTAAGATAAAAATGTACAAATTCAAAGAATACTGTGACACCAATGACATGTTGTGTTACACCACTGATTTTTCTTTACCTCACTCTAAATATAAATCCACATTAATTGCCTTTAATTGATAATTAACAGATTTAAACAGCTCAACAGCAAATTCTGAACACTCAAATTTTAAAAGGTTTTTAAAAAATAATATACAAAAGCAATAAAATGAACAAATTGTAGTAACATTGTTACACCAATGACATTTTTTGTTACACCACTGATTTTTATTGAATTAACTTCAACGATAAATTCAAATTAATTGCCTTTAATTGATCATTAATAGAACTGAACAGCTCAATAGCAACTTTTGAACACTCAGATTTTAAAAGGTTTTCCAAAAATAATATTAAAAACAATAAAATTAACATATTGTGGTAATACTGTTACACCAATGACATTGTTTGTTACACCACTGATTTTTCTGAACTTTATATACTAATATACCAGAACAAATTACCTTCACAGACTTTACATGAGTTAATGGTCATAAAATATACTGGATAAATACAATGCAAAGCAGTTGAGTTTTGTGAACAAGTGACTTAAATGAACATTTTGTCAGTGGTGTAACAAAAATTGTCAGTGGCGTAACATTTTCCCATGTTATACCACTGACAGTTACACCACTGACCTATTCCCACTTTTATGAAATTTATAACAATTAATGCTCCCTAACCACAGACCACCTGGCATAAATGTTGATGTTTTAGCAACTTTGATGTACTTTAAGTAAACATTGTTATGAAAAAGAACACATGAATAAGAAATCAAGGTTACACCACTGACTCGATAAAAAGTTATGTTATGAAGTCGACTCACCAACTGCATCAAACTTCAACATCAAAATAAAATTTGGCCTCCACAAAACTTCTGCCACGAGAAGAAAGTCATCAGCAAAGGGACCGTTTAGTGTTTCATATTTTTTACTCAAACGAGATAATTATTAATGTCACAAGTTTATATTCGTTACACCACTGACTGTGACATTTTGGACAGTCATTGTTTTCATTGTAAATATGTGATTTTCATTTTGTTTTCAATATTTCATGCAGGAATGTGTTTTTAATATTGGTGTTTCATTATAAATCTTTTAAAAATATGTATAAATACCCTGGAATTTAAACTTTATGGTACTGCAAAGTAATGTCGCTGTCCACTGACAGTGGTTTTTCTTTCAAAATGATGATAAAAACCCAATTTTGTCCCAAAAATAACAAACAGGAACACCATTTTACATCATTATGAGGAACAAAATACATTTTTCTTTCATAATATTATTTTTGAAAAAGAATTGAAACAATATTTTCAGAGCAATGTGTTACTGACCAAAAGTTGGGCAAATTTTGAGAATGACCCTGAACCGTTCTTGAAATATCTTGCTGACAATTCAGGTCAACATGCTGAAATCTTCAAAGTGTCGTTGTGACCTTGAAAATTATGTGAAGGTCACCAAAATTAACTGAGCCCTGGGCCTTCCCGAGATAAAGCTTGGTGTCAAATATGAAGAAAATCCAGTTAATATTCTTTTGCGATATTTTGATGACTATCTTAACATGCAATTTAACATGCTGAAATCTTCAAAGTGTCTCTGTGACCTTGAAAATAAAGTGAAGGTCACCAAAATCGGCTGGCCCCTGCGCCTTCCCTGGATGAAGCTTGGTGACAAATATGACTGAAATCTTCGAAAAAACTCCTGTGAATGGTTCTTGAGACAGCTTAACATGCAGGTTTACATACTGAAATCTTCAAAGTGTCGCCATGACCTTGAAAATTATGTGAAGGTCACCAAATTGACTGGGCCCTGCGCCTTCCCTACATAAAGCTTGGTGTTGAATATGAAGAAAATCCAGTGAACAGTTCTTGAGATAGCTTAACATGCAGGTAAAACGTTACCCCTTGTGACCTTGAAATGAAAGTCAAGGTCACCAAACCTGACTTGGACCTTTCTTATATTGTGATGAACCTAGGTACCAAATATGAAAAGAATATAGTCAACGGTTCTTAAGTTATTCCAATTCGTACGGACGGATGGAGCCTAATACTATATCCCCCGCTTTGCACTAAATGCGGGGCGGGGGATAATAATATCCAGTCCTGTTGATCTTCGGGTGGTCATGCCACCTATATATTTTGAGACATATAATACGATGGCTGATTTAAGCTTTTCCATGGGTATCATACCCTTTTACGTATCTCAACATAAACTTTATGATCAATAGATGCGACATATTCAACACACATGAAAAAGCATAAAATATCTTTAAGATGACCCCTTGTGCAGGCAGCACGTGCATTTCATGCCAGGTGAGTCGACAGTCAGTCGTCATACCTGGCTGAGCAACCTAATTGCCATCTATAGTCTGATGTATTGTTTTCAGCAGCTGTTGGTATTTTTTCTAAGTTTTGCCCGATTTTACGAGTAAACATGCTTTTCTGGATATACCATTACGCATCCCACTGAATGCCCAGTTAGGCCGATGTGGGTTATTTCGATATATGCTATTTGTAAATGTGTTATTTTAAGGATAAAGAGTAACAGCCTAAAAACAGTTTTTTTCTATTTCCGACAGTACTTTAACAGAAAATCTGTTTCAATATTTTTGTGAATAAACATGTTAAGGGTGTGACCTTCATTGACCATGGTCAATGACATAATATCCAACTTTTGAACTAAAAATAATAATTCTATAATATAATTCCTTTTACGTCTTTATCTGGAACATCTCTTTGTGTCTTAGGTTTTCAAAAGCAAGAGAAGGGCAGGGCAAAATTAGATAAAACAAAACCATGCATCAAAACTATCATTTCAATATGGCTGAAGTGGCAGATGACCACAATTAAAACCTCTGAAAAACAGATACAACATGTTTCATTATCATCTGTACATTTATTTAGCAAATACGTCACTGTACAATTTCCATAATACTGAGGTCACAACTTGAGGTTCCTCTTCTTGCCGCCCCTCCTGGTGAGGGGCTTGGACTCCAGGGGCAGCTTCAGAGGCAGCTTGAGAACCACCAAGTTGTCCCCCTCCGTCCTCCTCTTCTGGGAAGCTACGGAGCAACCGAGTGCACGGTAGAACTGAGACACCCTGCCAATATCACCAATAGAAGCTCACAATTTGTAGGAATAAACTGTCTAGGGCTATAGCTTTTTGTTTGGGTTTATAATAATTCTTAATTCTTAATTCTTACGTATCTACATCTTATATTATCTTGCCTCACACATAAATGTCGTTTTCTGATTGGCTGAGTGCTCTTCTAATATTTTCAATGTACCCCGCTTACAAGCGAGTAACATTTCATATGTACCCCGCTGGGAATGCCGAACTCTTTTGGTACTTCTGTAGAACATTGAATCACGTATGATGTACAGAAATTACCAATGTTTTGGGAATGCAAATCGATGGAAGAGAGAAAACTCTAAATTTGTTTGTCTTGTCGTGGTACTCCATACTATGATCTGATACCTGTGCTTCAAACAGTTCAAAATTGCCATTGAGGTGTTTGGTAAGATAAATACGTTGTTCACTGTCCCTCGGGCCTCATGGGTTGATGTACCCTCGATGTTTGTTTATGTTCATAAAGAAGTATTGAGGGTACATGAGCCGATGTTCCCCCCGAGACCAGTGAACAACTTATAATATCCCTTGGGTGTCCAAGCACGTCATGATCTCACAGTGAACACCGTGTCCTCACAGCAGTCACATACAGACTAAACATATAGCATCCCTACTTACAAGACGCTGTTTAATCGATGTTAATTATCTTTCAAGTGCAAGATCTTCACAAATAATGTATTTGACAACATATTATATGAAGAGAAAACTGCCATGTTAGATTTTTGTAGTTACATTGCTACATTTTTGTAATCCTATTTTGCCCTTTAAAGACATAACCGGGGAACATCCCAGGGTGTTGTAAGCTGCCAGTGTCCTACCTTCTCTCTGCCACCGCCAGATCCTGCACCAACAGCGACGGGTCGGCCTTAGCGTCTTCTATGATCAGAGACACAGCAAGTATGTGCAACAGCAACTTGTCCTTCAAGCGAGACGGGAAAAATCTGCCAAGAGAAACAGGAACTATTTCCATCTGCATACATCTAGATTTAGTTCCACCTTTCCTGTTGACTTCTTCTGTAAAACAGATCGCTTACAAGACGACTGTTTTGCATACTGAGAGTCCCATCACAGAATATTTCACAAAATATTTTCAGATTCATTCCCCATTCCCCATTTAAACTAAACTTTTTTTATAATGTTTTTTGCATTTGAGTGTGAATGCCCTTGCACTTTACTGTAGCAGTGACAAGTATCTTTACTGTAGCAGTGACAAGTAACTTTACTGTAGCAGTGACAAGTATCTTTACTGTAGCAGTGACAAGTATCTTTACTGTAGCAGTGACAAGTATCTTTACTGTAGCAGTGACAAGTATCTTTACTGTAGCAGTGACAAGTACAAGTGACAAGTATCTTTACTGTAGCAGTGACAAGTATCTTTACTGTAGCAGTGACAAGTATCTTTACTGTAGCAGTGACAAAAGTATCTTTACTGTAGCAGTGACAAGTATCTTTACTGTAGCAGTGACAAGTATACTGTAGCAGTTTACTGTAGCAGTGACAAGTATCTTTACTGTAGCAGTGACAAGTATCTTTACTGTAGCAGTGACAAGTATCTTTACTGTAGCAGTGACAAGTATCTTTACTGTAGCAGTGACAAGTATCTTTACTGTAGCAGTGACAAGTATCTTTACTGTAGCAGTGACAAGTATCTTTACTGTAGCAGTGACAAGTATCTTTACTGTAGCAGTGACAAGTATCTTTACTGTAGCAGTGACAAGTATCTTTACTGTAGCAGTGACAAGTATCTTTACTGTAGCAGTGACAAGTATCTTTACTCTTTAGTGACAAGTAGTGAGTGACAAGTATCTTTACTGTAGCAGTGACAACATCTTTACTGTAGCAGTGACAAGTATCTTTACTGTAGCAGTGAGTGACAAGTATCTTTACTGTAGCAGTGACAAGTATCTTTACTGTAGCAGTGACAAGTATCTTTACTGTAGCAGTGACAAGTATCTTTACTGTAGCAGTGACAAGTATCTTTACTGTAGCAGTGACAAGTATCTTTACTGTAGCAGTGACAAGTATCTTTACTGTAGCAGTGACAAGTATCTTTACTGTAGCAGTGACAAGTATCTTTACTGTAGCAGTGACAAGTATCTTTACTGTAGCAGTGACAAGTGTAGCAAGTGACAAGTATCTTTACTGTAGCAGTGACAAGTATCTTTACTGTAGCAGTGACAAGTATATCTTTAGCAGTGACAAGTATCTTTACTGTAGCAGTGACAAGTATCTTTACTGTAGCAGTGACAAGTATCTTTACTGTAGCAGTGACAAGTATCTCTACTGTAGCAGTGACAAGTATCTTTACTGTAGCAGTGACAAGTATCTTTACTGTAGACAAGTGTAGCAGTGACAAGTATCTTTACTGTAGCAGTGACAAGTATCTTTACTGTAGCAGTGACAAGTATCTTTAGTGTAGCAGTGACAAGTATCTTTACTGTAGCAGTGACAAGTATCTTTACTGTAGCAGTGACAAGTATCTTTACTGTAGCAAAGTATCTTTACTGTAGCAGTGACAAGTATCTTTACTGTAGCAGTGACAAGTATCTTTACTGTAGCAGTGACAAGTATCTTTACTGTAGCAGTGACAAGTATCTTTACTGTAGCAGTGACAAGTATCTTTACTGTAGCAGTGACAAGTATCTTTACTGTAGCAGTGACAAGTATCTTTACTGTAGCAGTGACAAAGTATCTTTACTGTAGCAGTGACAAGTATCTTTACTGTAGCAGTGACAAAGTATCTTTACTGTAGCAGTGACAAGTATCTTTACTGTAGCAGTGACAAGTATCTTTACTGTAGCAGTGACAAGTATCTTTACTGTAGCAGTGACAAGTATCTTTACTGTAGCAGTGACAAGTATCTTTACTGTAGCAGTGACAAGTATCTTTACTGTAGCAGTGACAAGTATCTTTACTGTAGCAGTGACAAGTATCTTTACTGTAGCAGTGACAAGTATCTTTACTGTAGCAGTGACAAGTATCTTTACTGTAGCAGTGACAAGTATCTTTACTGTAGCAGTGACAAGTATCTTTACTGTAGCAGTGACAAGTATCTTTACTGTAGCAGTGACAAGTATCTTTACTGTAGCAGTGACAAGTATCTTTACTGTAGCAGTGACAAGTATCTTTACTGTAGCAGTGACAAGTATCTTTACTGTAGCAGTGACAAGTATCTTTACTGTAGCAGTGACAAGTATCTTTACTGTAGCAGTGACAAGTATCTTTACTGTAGCAGTGACAAGTATCTTTACTGTAGCAGTGACAAGTATCTTTACTGTAGTAATCTGTCATCTGTCTGTCCGGGATACATTTTAAAATCTTTTTGCCATCTTATCGCATTCTCCTACCCAGAGTTCCATGCACCCAGCATAGTACCTTTGCCACAGGCCAGAGAGATGATACGATTTGTCACATCTTGCACAGTCCATTCCAGATATATATTTCCTAACGCTTTTATTTTTGGCAAGTCTACACATCTAATTAAACTTCTTTGATAGAATGGTTTACTTTTACTGAGAAAATATCCTGAAAAATTTAACACTACAGTGAAACCCGGATAACTAAAACTCCAAGGGACCATGGCAAAAGTTGCTACTTATCCGTATTGCCACTTATCCGTATTACCACTTATCCGTATTACCACTTATCCGTATTGCCACTTATCTGTTCAAGCAAGTTGTAACACATTTCCAAGTAAAGTAAACAGACATTGTATCCCCATTGTATCAAGGCAACCTGACCCATTCAACGGGACCATTCATACCCCCAAGACTCGCTAGGTCCCTCTGGAGATTGCTCAGACATCATGTCAAAATGTAACTAAAGATTGTGATTTTGTGCATGTTATATAGCAGTGTGGTAAACCCTACTTTGTATAAAAACCCAACTTCACAATTTTGTAAAAACGTGACGAATGGCGGCGCTCTGTTTGAACTTGCCCCTCTACTCAGATCCACTATATCCAGTGTATGGCACACTTGACCTCGATTAGGATTAATTATGATAATAAACAACATGCAGGAAGAGACTAATTAGTCAGCTTGTTAACAGCCCAAGTTGTCATCAAAACCCTATGGAGAGCAAGCGATGCAGTCACTTTAAAGTATAAATATGTCTTGTCATAAACCTGACTGTCGCAGTTGTAGAAGAATATCTATAATGCAAAACAATAAGAAGAGCGCACTTGGACAGTCTTTTCTAATTTATGGATATTCATGTTTATTTACAAATAAGAGAAAGGTCCGGTCATGTGATATGCAAATTAGCCTGTGGCAGTGATGTTATGCTAAGTCATCACTGCGCCATTGTGTGATGTTATCGATCACCCTTGTGAAGCATTGGAAATAATGAGTGAGTGAGTGAGTTTAGTTTTATGCCGCACTCAGCAATATGACAGCTATAAAGGGGCGGTCTGTAAATAATCGAGTCTGGACCAGACAATCCAGTGATCAACAGCATGAACATCGATCTGCGCAATTGGGAACCGATGACATGAGTCAACCAAGTCAGCGAGCCTGACCACCCGATTCCGTTAGTTGCCTCTTACAACAAGCATAGTCGCCTTTTGAGGCAAGCATGGGTTGCTGAAGACCTATTCTACCCCGGATCTTCACAGGTCATTAGAAATAATGACAACAATGTGAGTGAATGTCACCTTTTCATGAGAAAGGACACAACCTATGTTCCACATCAGATGGCACCCTGATCAAAGAGAAGTAGGTCAAGGGTGACAAATAGGTTCTGATATAGGTCAGTATGCACTCCTTCCTTTTGAAGATGGACAAGTGTAGCTAAGTCATTGATGCAGCATAACTCTAACCTTCAAATATCCCTCTTGACATCAAATGCCAAGATTAATACTACCCCATTAACAGAAAACATCCTTGATCAAAGAGGAAAGTTGCCATCTGCAGCCACCTTGTAGGTTTCTGAACCTTGTTGCCCACGGACATGGTGGTGAACTGAGACAACAACTGCTCCCTCACTGCTGGTGGCCACCCCGTCGGCAGACAGTCTGAAACACAAGCAGACAACCATGAGGGTCTAAAACACAAGCAGACAACCATGAGTCTGAAACACAGACGCAGACAACCATGAGGCTGAAACACAGACGCAGACAACCATGAGAGTCTGAAACACAAGCAGACAACCATGAGGGTCTGAAACACAAGCATACAACCATGAGTCTGAAAAACAAGGAGACAACCATGAGAGTCTGAAACAAAGGCAGACATCCACGATGGTCTTAAACACAAGGAGACAACCATGAGAGTCTGAAACACAAGCAGACAACCATGAGAGTCTGAAACACAAGCAGACAACCATGAGAGTCTGAAACACAAGCAGACAACCATGAGGGTCTGAAACACAAGCAGACAACCATGAGAGCCTGAAACACAAGCAGACAACCATGAGAGTCTGAAACACAAGCAGACAACCATGAGAGTCTGAAACACAAGCAGACAACCATGAGTCTGAAACACAAGCATACAACCATGAGTCTGAAACACAAGGAGACAACCATGAGAGTCTGAAACAAAGGCAGACATCCACGATGGTCTGAAACACAAGCAGACAACCATGAGAGTCTGAAACACAAGCAGACAACCATGAGAGTTTGAAACACAAGCAGACAACCATGAGGGTCTGAAACACAAGCAGACAACCATGAGAGCCTGAAACTAAAGCATACAACCATGAGAGTCTGAAACACAAGCAGACAACCATGAGAGTCTGAAACACAAGCATACAACCATGAGAGTCTGAAACACAGAAGCAGACAACCATGAGTCTGAAACACACAAGCAGACAACAATGAGGCTGAAACACAAGCAGACAACCATGAGAGTCTGAAACACAAGCAGACAACCATGAGTCTGAAACACAAGCATACAACCATGAGTCTGAAACACAAGCATACAACCATGAGTCTGAAACACAAGGAGACAACCATGAGAGTCTGAAACACAAGCAGACAACCTTGAGAGTCTGAAACAAACACAAGCATGAGTCTGAAACCATACAACCATGAGTCTGAAACACAAGCATACAACCATGAGTCTGAAACACAACAACCATGAGGGTCTGAAACAAAGGCAGACATCCACGAGTCTGAAACACAAGCAGACAACCATGAGAGTCTGAAACACAAGGAGACAACCATGAGAGTCTGTACTGAAACAACCATGAGCTGAAACACAAGCCAACCATGAGTCTGAAACACAAGGAGACAACCATGAGAGTCTGAAACAAAGGCAGACATCCACGATGGTCTGAAACACAAGCAGACAACCATGATAGTCTGAAACACAAGCAGACAACCATGAGAGTTTGAAACACAAGCAGACAACCATGAGGGTCTGAAACACAAGCAGACAACCATGAGAGCCTGAAACTAAAGCATACAACCATGAGAGTCTGAAACACAAGCAGACAACCATGAGAGTCTGAAACACAAGCAGACAACCATGAGAGTCTGAAACACAGAAGCAGACAACCATGAGAGTCTGAAACACAAGCAGACAACCATGAGAGTCTGAAACACAAGCAGACAACCATGAGAGTCTGAAACACAAGCAGACAACCATGAGTCTGAAACACAAGCATACAACCATGAGTCTGAAACACAAGCATACAACCATGAGTCTGAAACACAAGGAGACAACCATGAGAGTCTGAAACACAAGCAGACAACCTTGAGAGTCTGAAACACAAGCATACAACCATGAGTCTGAAACACAAGCATACAACCATGAGTCTGAAACACAAGCATACAACCATGAGTCTGAAACACAAGCAGACAACCATGAGAGTCTGAAACAGAGGCAGACAACCATGAGTCTGAAACACAGAAGCAGACAACCATGAGAGTCTGAAACACAGAAGCAGACAACCATGAGAGTCTGAAACACAAGCAGACAACCATGAGAGTCTGAAACACAAGCAGACAACCATGAGTCTGAAACACAAGCATACAACCATGAGTCTGAAACACAAGCAGACAACCATGAGTCTGAAACACAAGGAGACAACCATGAGAGTCTGAAACACAAGCAGACAACCATGAGAGTCTGAAACACAAGCATACAACCATGAGTCTGAAACACAAGCATACAACCACGAGTCTGAAACACAGATGAGTCTGAAACCATGAGAGGCTGAAACACAAGCAGACAACCATGAGAGTCTGAAACAGTCTGAAACACAAGCAGACAACCATGAGTCTGAAACACAAGCAGACAACCATGAGTCTGAAACACAAGCAGACAACCATGAGAGTCTGAAAAAGCAGACAACCATACCAGAGTCTGAAACCAAGCAAACCATGAGAGTCTGAAACACAAGCAGACAACCATGAGAAACACAAGCTGAAACAGAGTCTGAAACAACCATGAGAGTCTGAAAACAAAGGCAGACATCCACGTCTGAAACAGAAGCAGACAACATGAGAGTCTGAAACACAAGCAGACAACCATGAGAGTCTGAAACACAACAGAGCAGACAACCACAACCATGAGAGTCTGAAACACACGAAGCAGACTGAAACAGACATGAGAGTCTGAAACACAAGCAGACAACCATGAGAGTCTGAAACACAGGCAGACAACCACGAGAGTCTGAAACACAAGCAGACAACCATGAGAGTCTGAAACACAGGCGCTGACAACCATGAGAGTCTGAAACACAAGCAGACAACCATGAGAGTCTGAAACACAGGCAGACAACCATCAGAGTCTGAAACACAAGCAGACAACCATGAGAGTCTGAAACACAGGCACACAACCATGACGGTCTGAAACACAAGCAGACAACCATGAGAGTCTGAACCACTGAGGCAGACAACTATGACTGAACCACTGAGGCAGACAACCATGAGAGTTTGAACCACTGAGGCAGACAACCATGAGAGCTTGAACCACTGAGGCAGACAACTATGACTGAACCACTGAGGCAGACAACCAACCACACCTCTGTGTGTACTCACAGCGTTTCTTGAGTTGTATGGGCTTGTACTTGTAGAGAGTCAGTAAGTAATGCAGATACACCAGGCACTTAGCCTTCTGCCAGCGCCGCCTCTCATCAGACGGCATGATCTTCAACTGTTCCAGGATGTACCATGGGTACCTGCAGTAAGCATGGGGATAATGTACCATGGGTATCTACACAGAGCATTGTGGGTAATGTGCCACGGGTATCTACACAGAGCATTGTGGGTAATATTCCACGGGTATCTACACAGAGCATTGTGGGTAATGTATCATGGGTATCTACATAGAGCATTGTGGGTAATGTACCACGGTACCTACACAGAGCATTGTGGGTAATGTACCATGGGTATCTACACAGCATTGTGGGTAATGTACCATGGGTATCTACATAGAGCATTGTGGGTAATGTACCACGGTATCTACACAGAGCATTGTGAGTAATGTACCATGGGTATCTACACCGAGCATTGTGGGTAATGTACCATGGGTATCTACACAGAGCATTGAGGGTAATGTACCACGGTATCTACACCGAGCATTGTGGGTAATGTACCATGGGTATCTACACAGAGCATTGTGGGTAATGTACCACGGTATCTACACCGAGCATTGTGGGTAATGTACCATGGGCATCTACACAGAGCATTGTGGGTAATGTACCACGGTACCTACACAGAGCATTGTGGGTAATGTACCATGGGCATCTACACAGAGCATTGTGGGTAATGTACCACGGTATCTACACAGAGCATTGTGGGTAATGTACCATGGGCATCTACACAGAGCATTGAGGGTAATGTACCACGGTATCTACACCGAGCATTGTGGGTAATGTACCATGGGTATCTACAAAGAGCATTATGGGTAATGTACCATGGGTATCTACACAGAGCATGTACCATAAAGTGTGTTTAAACAGAGCATTGAAGGTGAAGCATCATGAGTAGACAAACAGAGCACTGAAGGTGAAGCATCATGGGTAGATAAACAGAGCAGTGAAGGTGAAGCATCATGGGTAGAGACAAACAGAGCAGTGAAGGTGAAGCATCATGAGTAGAGAAACAGAGCAGTGAAGGTGAAGCATCATGAGTAGACAAACAGAGCAGTGAAGGTGAAGCATCATGAGTAGAGAAACAGAGCAGTGAAGGTGAAGCATCATGAGTAGACAAACAGAGCAGTGAAGGTGAAGCATCATAAGTAGATAAACAGAGCAGTGAAGGTGAAGCATCATGGGTAGATAAACAGAGCAGTGAAGGTGAAGCATCATGAGTAGACAAACAGAGCATTGAAGGTGAAGCATCATGGGTAGATAAACAGAGCAGTGAAGGTGAAGCATCATGAGTAGACAAACAGAGCATTGAAGGTGAAGCATCATGGGTAGATAAACAGAGCAGTGAAGGTGAAGCATCATAAGTAGATAAACAGAGCAGTGAAGGTGAAGCATCATGAGTAGACAAACAGAGCATTGAAGGTGAAGCATCATGGGTAGATAAAGAGAGCACTGAAGGTGAAGCATCATGAGTAGAGAAACAGAGCAGTGAAGGTGAAGCATCATGAGTAGACAAACAGAGCATTGAAGGTGAAGCATCATAAGTAGACAAACAGAGCATTATAGGTGAAGCATCATGAGTAGATAAACAGAGCATTATAGGTGAAGCATCATGAGTAGATAAACAGAGCATTATAGGTGAAGCATCATGAGTAGATAAACAGAGCATTATAGGTGAAGCATCATGAGTAGATAAACAGAGCATTATAGGTGAAGCATCATGAGTAGATAAACAGAGCATTATAGGTGAAGCATCATGAGTAGATAAACAGAGCATTATAGGTGAAGCATCATGAGTAGATAAACAGAGCATTATAGGTGAAGCATCATGAGTAGATAAACAGAGCATTATAGGTGAAGCATCATGAGTACATAAACAGAGCATTATAGGTGAAGCATCATGAGTACATAAACAGAGCATTATAGGTGAAGCATCATGAGTAGATAAACAGAGCATTATAGGTGAAGCACCATGAGTAGATAAACAGAGCATTATAGGTGAAGCATCATGAGTAGATAAACAGAGCATTATAGGTGAAGCATCATGAGTACATAAACAGAGCATTATAGGTGAAGCATCATGAGTACATAAACAGAGCATTATAGGTGAAGCATCATGAGTACATAAACAGAGCATTATAGGTGAAGCATCATGAGTACATAAACAGAGCACTGACGGTGAAACATCATGAGTAGATAAACAGAGCATTATAGGTGAAGCGTCGTGTGTATAAATAGAGCATCGTTAGTGTATAAACAGCATCATGGATGTAGCGTCATGCATGTATAAATAGAGCCTGGTGGTTCCTGTTAGTGGAGACATCAGGACTCACTCGCTTGTATCTGTCCACTCAGCTAGTTGGGCCTGGGTACGGGTGAAGAACTTCTCAGCAGGTGATTTCAAAGCTGTCAGTATTTGAGGGGTTATCACTGAAATTACAAACAGTTGTGTTTCATTTCATAATTGCTAAAATGTTTTAAAACTGAGCTCTTATACGATCTTGCTGAGCCAGTAATTTATTTTTTCATCACAGAATTCAATTATTGCACTACTTCAGAAATCTTGTTTGATCTGAACATTTAAAGATGTACATAAATACTGATACACTGACTGACTGACTGAGTTTGGTTTTACGCCGCTTTTAGCAATATTCCAGCAACATCACGGTGGGGGACACCAGAAATGGGCTTCACACATTGTACCCATGTGGGGATTCGAACCCGGGACTTCGGCGTGGCTGATACATCTATGGATACATATTACAGCAGTATATATTTCACTGATATAGCTTACATTACATCTTACTGATATTATAGAGCAATGTCGTAAGGATATTTTACTGTTAAATCTTACATATATATCTTACTGATCACAGTGATATATTCTATGGGAATCAACATCAGCATAAGTGGTCATTCTCTAAACATTGAGTGAGTGGAACATATCAGAAGAGATCATGAATATCTGGGGGTACATGTGTATTTATAGTGAAAGAATGTGCACGAATGAGCACGTCTAGCAAATTCAAATAACCCCCCAAAGATATTCATGATTCCTAACTTATTCTCTAATAGACAGGGTCCTGTTGTACAAAATCACCTTTGTGTTATGATTGTCTATGCTAAGGTATTGGTGTTGGAATCACCATAGTGCTATGATTGTCTATGCTAAGGTATGGGTGTTCAAATCACCATAGTGTTATGACTGTCTATGTTAAAGTATGGGGGTTTAAATGACCATAGTGTTATGACTGTCTATGTTAAAGTATGGGGGTTCGAATAACAATAGTGTTATGACTGTCTATGTTAAAGTATGGGGGTTCAAATGACCATAGTGTTATGACTGTCTATGTTAAAGTATGGGGGTTCAAATGACCATAGTGTTATGACTGTCTATGTTAAAGTATGGGGGTTCAAATGACCATAGTGTTATGACTGTCTATGTTAAAGTATGGGGTTCAAATGACCATAGTGTTATGACTGTCTATGTTAAAGTATGGGGGTTCAAATGACCATAGTGTTATGACTGTCTATGTTAAAGTATGGGGTTCAAATGACCATAGTGTTATGACTGTCTATGTTAAAGTATGGGGGTTCAAATGACCATAGTGTTATGACTGTCTATGTTAAAGTATGGGGGTTCAAATGACCATAGTGTTATGACTGTCTATGTTAAAGTATGGGGGTTCAAATGACCATAGTGTTATGACTGTCTATGTTAAAGTATGGGGGTTCAAATGACCATAGTGTTATGACTGTCTATGTTAAAGTATGGGGGTTCGAATCACCATAGTGTTATGACTGTCTATGTTAAAGTATGGGGGTTCAAATGACCATAGTGTTATGACTGTCTATGTTAAGGTATGGGGGTTCGAATCACCATAGTGTTATGACTGTCTATGTTAAAGTATGGGGGTTCAAATGACCATAGTGTTATGACTGTCTATGTTAAGGTATGGGGGTTCGAATCACACCAGTGTTATGACTGTCTATGTTAAAGTATGGGGGTTCAAATGACCATAGTGTTATGACTGTCTATGTTAAAGTATGGGGGTTCAAATGACCATAGTGTTATGACTGTCTATGTTAAGGTATGGGGGTTCGAATCACCATAGTGTTATGACTGTCTATGTTAAAGTATGGGGGTTCGAATCACCATAGTGCTATGACTGTCTATGTTAAGGTATGTGGAGTTCCAAACACCTTTGCGCTAAGATGGCTACGTACAACATCATTCAGTACCATGATGATGAAGTCTGCACATCTACACAGGGGCTTCCCAGTGCTGGTAAAACTATCTCTGTGCAAGATGTTCGTAACCCCATACTTTCACAATCCTTACAAAAGTAGTATTAGTTCATGTTAAGATGATCATAACCAGTGTATGAAATAAGTCCCAAATCCAGCCAGACATCAGGGCTGTAACTTTTAAATGTTACCAGCCCAAAATGGATTTAACCAGACCAAATACGGTAAATTTACTCAGATGTCTGGAACATCTAAAATTTTACCTGACCATCGGGCTGGTGAGCTGTAAATTTATACAAACCTGTAGAGGTTATGAATTCTTTGAAGAAAGTCCTCCTTGGGGTACATATAAGCATTAAAATGTCCATTTTAAATCCTACGACAGTTGTAACTATATTTTTAATAAAATATTTACAAAACAAAAAACTCGTTTTGTCTTGTGAGACCACCCCTACAGGGCCCCACCGGACCAACACAGCCAAGAGCAGGTAACTCTCGCCGTCTACCTCGTACCTCACTTTTCATGCTGAACTTGTCAGACAGAATGAGGGGAGGCGGGTGGCCATTACCCAAGGAGGACTTTCTTCAAAGAATTCATAACCTCTACAGGTTTGTATAATTCTTTTCAGAAGAAGTCCTCCTTGGGGTACATATAAGCATATGACAGACTCCCAAAGATATTTGAGGACGGGAGTGGCATTCTGTCTGGCAACAACTAAACCCGTGGTGGAGTGAAATCCACAACCGAACGGAAATAGAAAACATCGAGCCACCTGACCGCTGATGTCAATCAGGAGGGGGTGGGAACTAGAGAGCCCAAGCTTATATGTCAATTGGCTCAATATCAATGACATAAAACCCCCCCCAACCATTACAATGGAAGGAATGTATGGGGACATGCGAAACAACTCCCAACCCTAATATAGCCCCAGCCAGACAAGCGTGGCGAGAGGTATAAGGGTAGGGAAAGCTTAAAATTAAAAGCTACAAAGCCAATAACCCAGGAGTCGAGGAGCTAATAAGTACTGCAAACTAATGCCCGAAAGCACCCCTGTTTGGAAGAGGGCTTGCGGGACCTCGATAAAACCCAGAGAAATTATTAGCCTCGCTAAAACTTTCTGAGGAAATCGAAGCAGTACAAACACCATGCATTGTATGCAGTGAAAAACACCCCACCAAACACACTCGGGCGTGAGGAGGGTAAGTGTAGGCCACCATCCCACAAAGCTGATTAACACAGACTCCCAAATACCGAAGGCTCGGGAGAGGGAAAAACTGTAAGCGCATACAAAATCCCTGAATAGCTTAAAGGCGTAGGCGAACATGTGTTGGCTCACCATTACACTAACCTGGTCACGTGACATGCGGCTCGAAGAGAGGCATACCAAACAGTGCCCGTGGGGGTTCGTACCCAATTCCGTCGCAAGGCGGGTTAATAGCATATGACTGGTTAAAGCGTTCAAAAGCGGACCCGCCCTCTTGAAGGGGCGTAAAGGGACGTATGTACACCCAAACCCGACCCAACCCGAAAGGATGGTAAGGCTATCACGGTGTACTGATATGAAATATATCGACATTGAACACAGAACCGATACCAATGACCAGTTACTAACTTGGTCAGGGTGGCAGGTCACTCTCCACTGGAGAGAACGAAAGACCGAACCGAGCACGATCCTTAGAATGCGTGTCAAGTTGGTAATGGCGAATGAAGGCGTTCTGCTGGCTCCAAAGAGCGACAGAACCGATCTGTTCATTGAGCAGAGCCGCTGTGTAATGCCAACAAAGCGGCATCTGCCCTACCCAGTCTGCCTTCAACCCCTCGGGGGGAGGTAAACCTTATCATTGTAACCATACAATTACGGAAACAAGCCAGCGAGATAAAGTCGCTTTGCTAGCAGACTCCCAGTCTTCCGCCACCAAACAGCTCACATGGGTACCCGTACGGATCCCTGTTGTTCGTTCGTTCGTGACAGGCACGGGTGAGCAATCGAAAGATTGGTCCCCGGCGCGGAAGGCTGGTTAAGGGATGGAAGTGCCATATGAGCAGTCACGTGGAAAGCAATATCGCACTGAGAGTGGTAGGTATCCGGGAGTCGAATACGGACATGATTAGTATAAAATACTGTCAGTGTCGGGTCAGTGGGAATCGCATGGATGTACCCGACCCTTCTACCAGAGTTCACCACAACAAGTAAAGTCGTCTTCCACGTCAACAAGTGAAGTGAGAGAGCGATATACTTGAAAAATTAGACCAGACAGCCAATTGTGAATAAGTGGCAATTTTAAGGTGGGCTGGAATTGGCTGGCCAGGCGGTCGAACCCTGTTCATGCCAGCTACTGACGCGATAATGCGAGAGGATGCTGCCTAGGCAGAGCACCATCGAGCGAGGTGTGAAAAGTGGAAATAGCCAAGGAGTACCCGGCAATGGTGGAGGTCATAAGGCTCTCAACCAAAAAGCGAGGTTATAGTAACTCCAATATCCGAACTAAATCCGCAGAATAGGGATTATGAAATCCCTATCTGCACACCAGCGCCCCACCTATAAACACACTGAGCGGGTGTCGAATCCCAGCCAGAATTGTGTCTGCAGCGGCTGCAGGAATTCCGTGTGTTATACCCGACAGAGGCCAAGCCACCCAGTGAATCCAAGGATTCGGGTGGGTAGCGCACAGAGTGAAAATGTCTGGCGAAGAGGTAATTTGAATCCGGCGTCGCGGGGATCGAACACCAACCTGACTGCTGTCAATTCCAGCACATTGATGTGCAGGTTGTGACTTCGTCTCAAGAGGCTGCAGGTCACCCAGAACATCGCCCTAACCGGTAGGGATGTATCTGGCTGGACTGAGAGCGACGGTGTCTCCAGGGTGGGGACCCTCGGAGACGCCTGGCGTCTGTCCATCTGACTGCGTGAGGTTGACAATTCCACCTAGTTTCAGTAACTGATTGTGAGGTCCCAGACTCAACAGTTATCTGAAACAACGATGAGTCAGTAAGCCTATGTACGGGTGACAACACCGGCAGTGCGATCTGGCTATCTGAGCTGTAATAAACCTCAATTTGGTGAACACCCTTGGCACCGTAATGTAGCCTAAGGAGAGCATACGAAACTGGTAGCACGTCCCGTCAAACAAGAAACCGAAGGTAAATCTTGAAATCAGGGTGCAATGGAACAAGGAGGTATCGCGACCTCGAGGTCGATTGGCGTCGCGCCAATCCCTGTCTCGGCAGATGAGATCACCGAGCGGTGTCTCCATCTTGAAGGACAGTACCTCTATAAACTTGTTCAGCTCTCAGATGAGAATGGGTCTGAACATTCCGTTCGTAATGGCAACTATGAAATAAGTGGTTTCAAACCCCACATATTCCTGACCATTGGAAACCACCACACTGGTTGCCTAGCCCAGCAAAGACTGGATCTGGGCACGGATTATTGTCGCCGTCTCGGGGAAGCCGACACTGGAGTGTGTCGCTCCGCCCGGTGTTCGCGCAGCATATAGTAACCCCATATGCGGCAACTTAACATTTGCGATGCCTGGGCACCTGAGGAAGTAACGAAGCTCAACAGACTTTTCGTATTCCTCGAAAGCGGTCCCGGCGTATATGCCCATAACCGCCCTCATCATTTGACTGGCACAGCTACAATGCAGTCCCTAGCCAGATGAGAGTTGCCCCGTCAGATGCTGCCCAGAGTAAGCCGGCGAAAAAATTCCACCGGCTCTCTCCCCTTTCCACCAGCTCCCTCAGCAGCTGAGAGATCGCCCAGTGGAGCATACAGCGTTGAGCTGTGAAAGGGAAAGAACGGCAGACTAAAGGGAGAGTGTGAGGCCTTGTCCGGATGCGTGCTGGAAGCAGGCTTCCCCTCGGGGCGAACTCCAGCGGTTCGGGTATTCGACATGGACAACACCTGAGGCAACACAGCGCGATTCTATCTCGCGACTTGCCCTCAGGGGCGAACCTACTTAGTGGTAAGTTCAAAGTAGCGAAATGAGCGAAGCTCAAATCGACTTGTCCACTGTCACGAGCCTGAAACCCGATTCGAGGCATGTGAGAAGCCTGACAATCAAGGTTTCACAAGCACTCAGACAGACCCTCGGGCGGTGAGGTGACAGTCACACCGGCACACTTCGATGGCATCTAGGTCAATCGTCGATAGACATCAGGCGAGACCTGAACTACGGGCCGAGACCTGAACTACCGAGTCGGGAATCTGCGCCCTACCAGTGCGAAGCCTGGGTCGGCGCTACCACGGGTTCAGCAAATCCGCAGAGCCGAAGCTCAGCTGTTCTAGACCGAACCCGATCCCGAGGCGCGTAGGAGTAGCCTGATAAATCAGGTTTCCCCAAGTACTCTCAAAAGCGCACTGAGCACATAGTCAAACATAGCCTATAGCGCTATATAAATACCCATACATACACATGTATGCGTAAGTCAGCTTTCGGGTCGGCGGTTCGAGTTCGAACCCGATCCCCAACACATGGGAGTGGCCTGACAATGCAGGGCTCCCTGGTGTACACGGGTAGACCTCGGCGCGTCGAGGTGAACGGCAGATCGTCACACTCAACGGCCTCTTGGCCAGGGCATCGATAGACATCAGGCGAGACCTGAGCTAACAGCGCCGGGATCTGCTCCGTGCGGGGCGAAGCCCAGGTCGGTGCTAGTCCGATCTGCAGTCGAGACACAAGGGAGTAGCCTGGCAATGCAGGTTGCCCCTGGTGGACACAGGTAGACCTAGGAGCGCCGAGGTGATCGGCAGCTCAGTGGAACCCACACCGGGGCGCCGAGAGGAACCTGCCAACATACAGGTTTCCCGGGCAACACCGACTGACCACGTGGCGCCGAGGTGTCCCCGAGCTGGTCGGCGCCTAGGCGACCGCCAGTCAGGGCACCAGGGCAAAACCTGCAGGGCAAAACCTGCATTGCCGGCGCCAGGCGCCCGTGACGAACCTGAGCCCGAAGCTAGGTCGCCACAAGGTGCCGAGGTGTCCCCGAGCTGGTCTGCGCCTAGGCGACCGCCAGTCAGGGCACCAGGCTGAAGACAGGGCAAAACCTGCATCGCCGGCAGGCGAAGCCCGTGGCGAACCTGAGCCGAAGCTAGGTCGCCACAAGGTGCGAAGGCACACCATCACCTGAGCGAAGCCAGGATCAAGCTGCCTGGGAGGAGCGTTCTCGAGCCAGAGCTCGGGCGCAGCCAACCCCCAGATGCGTCCGATCCACCCGACGACAGGCGTGCTGAGCTCCTTGCGGAACCCAGACAGCACCCGTGTCAATCGGGAGGGGATTTCACCACAGGCGACACCTGGTGAACTTACGCCGAGATCAACACTTTGCGAGCGAAGCTCCTTACGGAGCACGGACATCAGCGCTATCAATCATCGACTTGACATTATGTTGAAGAATATGTTGCTGCAATAGTGAAGCAAATTGAGTCATATTTTAAGTCAGCAACATTGTTCAAGCGGGGAAAGCGATAAAGGGATTTCCTTAGAAACCTTTTATCAAATATTATCCCCGCCTGAAGCAGATTAGTGAAAAACATAAAATCTGCGTGTGTCGGAAAGAATCGCGCGTGGTAGCAGAAACCCAGACAAAACCACAACCTCGGCCTATTAGCCCGCTGTGTGTAAGCGTCTGAAATATGTATCATAATACAACATAATGTAACAGGAATATTGACTCTCAAGGGCGTTTATTATGAGCATCCTTGATCGTCGTGGCGTCCTCGGCTAACACCGGAGGCACACTTTATGACCATCCTGTGGCGGTAGTGTGCATGGCACAACATACAGGGCTTAAACTGCAACAAACAGAACCACACCAGTGTTACTAGCAGGAACTGTGAAGCAGCAAAAACATAAACACAAGTAATAGCAAGAATAATCCGCCGCGGGCGATATATAAATGCTACAAGCTACAGCCATTTAAATACTAAACATACAATGCAAAGCAGAAAAAGGCTAGCCACCCTGCGCGTGTACTAGTGATAGAGTAAAGTTGAGTGTCTGAAGCGAACACTATCAAAATTACTCAACAACGACTTACCACAAATTTAAGCTGAAAGAAGAGAATTTAGGCAAGCCTACCATATAATATGCAAACATAATATATGAACTCCCTACTACAAGCTACCAAGAACATATAGCAAGGAAACCACGATCGCTGGCGCCCGCCATTTTGCCTGCCACATGGCTGGAAAACAGAGAACCCCGGCAAAGTTACAACAAAAGATGAATGAAAATATCCACATATGACGTCCATCTAACGCCCGTGTGTAGAGAAAGGAACCATACATACAGATTGAGACTCTTTTACACTCATCGTATCGCAAACTCGAAACGAACACCACGCACGTCTATTCAACAGAACGACAGCATGAAAAGTGAGGTACGAGGTAGACGGTGAGAGTTACCTGCTCTTGGCTGTGTTGGTCCGGTGGGGCCCTGTAGGGGTGGTCTCACAAGACAAAACGAGTTTTTTGTTTTGTAAATATTTTATTAAAAATATAGTTACAACTGTCGTAGGATTTAAAATGGACATTTTAATGCTTATATGTACCCCAAGGAGGACTTCTTCTGAAAAAGAATTAGATCGTTCACCAGAAATCTAGACCGCCTCGGGCAGTCAGATGGGCCTTATTTCATACACTGTTATAACCTCACACTTCCACACAGCTTTACAACCAACATGACGGGTCATCTCATACTCATTCCCGTTACGACAATCAGAGACATCAGCGTGCCACCCACCTGCCTCTGCAGTGTACACATGTTCTGGACAATCGGCGTCGCGGTCAAAGGGCGGAAGGATGGATTCCGATGAAAGAGGATTGATTGCTAAAAAATGCAAGAAAAAACATTTTTACAATACAAATAAATCACTTAACTAAGCTTAATATGTGGTCTTATTTCTATCACATGATATGACTCACCCACCTGGAGAGTCGACCACGTCTGACTGAGTGACTGCATGTCCGATGGCGTTGTCTACTGAGGTGTTAATGGTTTCATCGGTCAACTCCTTAAACTTCTGTCTTGCTTTTACAGCCCTTTTCTTCTTTAATGACCCAAAGGCAGCATTCAGCCGGTCATTCTGCACATAGACATTCATGACAGTGGTCAGTCTTTCAGTATCCGTCCAGCCCATCAGTAATAACCTGACACTTAGTTTCCGGGGATATTTTACAATGACAACTAAGTTATCATATTACTGATGCCATGGGAACATTATCTGAAACCTCAGGTTCTTGCACAGATGACACTTAGATCTCAACTTATATGATTTGTGAAAAATGTAATTTTCTGAATAAAATTGATATTTTATACTTATCCTGACTCATGCTTATTGCTTGTCTCCTTCCTCTTGCGAACATTAGTGGAACACTTGTATCTTCTATTGAAGCTCCCTTCAATAAAAACAGACGTAAAAACACTACCCACCATGAGTTATCTTTCTGGTTGTTTTGGCGGGAAAAAGTGGCACCACCGCTCCCACATGCATCACTCTCTCTGAAATATGAGCCCAACACTTGAATTTGCAGGGAAATCCAAAGTGTCTAGTGGGGAGGTTGGGAGGGCTTACCTCATGAGTCAGGATAAGTATAAAATATCAATTTTATTCAGAAAATGACATATTTTTCCTTATCCTGACTCATGCTTATTGCTTGTAGAATCCGTCGGATTTGGTGGTGGGTCAAGCTACTTCTGGATTTCATGTAGAGATTTACGTCTTGTATACCCCTCTGTGGGAACTTCTTGTTGGCACTTCTATGTTACTGCTAGTCTCTGCTGCTGCTGCAACCCTGTACTTCCAGCTGTCTCTGACGGGGACCACAATTGTTAACTTTTGGTCCTGGCTTCTGTTAACATTTTATGTGGATTTTGCAACTCCATCTTTTGATGCAATCATCAAGTGGAGAAGCGACCCTTTCCTGTACGAGTATCCTTACAAGTACAGGGTCATATCACTTTATGCTAGTCTGTCCTTAGACGTGCATATAGACTCTAAAGCTGAACTCTTCCGAGTGTAGGCTTTTGCAAGTCATGTGATAAAAGGGCGAGACTTCGTCTCAGCGCCTTTGAGGGACTGTCAAATGTTGTGCAACAACCAGCGGGCCGAAATGGTGAATGCCGGAGACGTCCTCGGTGGCGATGTCCCTCAGGTAATAGTCGGCAAACACCATGTTCGATTTCCAAAAGCAGCCCTCCATTATCGTTCTGATAGAACAATTCCCAAGCAGAACGAGTGCTGACACCAGAGCTCTAACTTCGTGTGGGTTGGAGGCTCTTGGAGGATCTAGTCCTGCTGTTTTGTAGGCCTGTAGTATGACAGTTCTGATCCAGATTGATATCGTAGTGCGGGAGACCTCCGTCTGTGTCGCTGTCGACATAGGGACGAAAAGACGCTTGAAATTCCGTCTCCTGGTCCTGGATCTTTGTAGGTAGATTTTCAATGCTCTGACTGGGCACAAAGATATGTCCTGCGTATCCTGTGGTCCAAGGACTGATGAGAGTGCTGGGACATGGAATTGTCTGTCCGGTTGACCTGGCAGTTGATTCTTTGCGATGAGTCCCATATGCACGGTGTTTTGATTTTCATCAAATCGTGTTCTCTCTAAGTCCAGAGCATGTATTTCCGACATCCTTGCTGCTGTTGCTAAGGCGATAAGGAACAGCGTCTTCTGTGTCAAGAACTCGAAGGATTTCCTCTCCAATGGTTCGTAGACGTCACTGATGAGATGTCGTAGAACTACGTTGAGGTCCCACGCTGGAGCTTTGAATCTCTGTTGTTGGTCCTCCAATTTAAAACAGCGAAGTAAGGACAGTAACTCTGGTACTTTCGTCAATTTTGCACCCGTCCTCATAGTGATGAAAAAGCTCAATGCTGCCAGGTATGTTGAGAGTGTTCACCCTTTTAACCGCTTTGTTTGTCGTAGGTGACAAAGGTAGTCCGCCACTTGAGGGTGTGTCGCCTTTATGGCTGTAAAGCCGTTCCTCGCAGCGTATGTCTCGAAACGTCGCCACTTGTCGTCGTACAAGGTGCTTGTAGACTTGCGTAGAGCTAGTGTGACTGCTTTCGCTGCCCTGGCGGAATATCCTCTCTTGTTCACGCACGCCTTGATACAGTCCACACATGTAACCGGAACACCTCTGGGTTGCCGTGCGCCTGCTTTGTGTGAGGATGTACTAGTAGATTCGTCCACTCTGGTAGTTGCAGTTGAGGATGTCCTAATTCTTGTATGAGAATGGGGAACCATATTCTCGCTGGCCAGTAAGGCGCGACCAAAATCAGTTGTAGGTCCTTCCTCTGACTGATTTTCTGCAACACCCTCGGTATTAGAGCTGGTGGTGGAAACGCTAAGAGTTTAGTCCTTCCCAGGAGATGCTTAGAGCGTCCGTTGCCCATGCTCGTGGATCTGGTATTAGTGAGACGAATGTTATCAGTTGATTGTTGAATCTTGTGGCGAAGAGGTCTATTAGTGGTGCTCCCATCTCTTGTCTGATCTGCTTGAAGATCTCTGGATGTAACATCCATTCTGTTGGGGATGGCTGTGTTGGACGGGATAGTGCGTCTGCTATCACATACTTGGCTCCTGGAATGTGGCATGCCCTTAAATGGATGTTCAGGTTGTCTGTTCTGCTGAACAGTTCAAAGCAGAGGTCCAGGAGGTTCGCGATCTTGTCGATCCTTGCCTGTTGATGTAGAACGCAACTGTGTAGTTGTCCGTATGCACCATCAGATGAGCATTCTCCAGAATGTTTGTCCAGTGGAGTATGGCGCTTAGTACTGCTTTCATTTCCAGCATGTTGATGTGCAGATCCTTCTCCTCTTTGGTCCATCTCCCAGCTAACACCTCGTCGTTGAGGTGTGCTCCCTAACCTTGGAGCCATGCGTCAGCGTAGAAATGCGTCGTGCACTCCGGCTCTGCTAAATAGGTCCCTCCGCAAACATTCGATCTCTGGATCCACCATAGGAGATATGGGCGTAGTGCGTCCGGGAGTCCGAAGGGTTCCGGGTCGTCCAGATGAGCATTGACGAAGACCTGTAGTGGGCGTAGTTGTAGTCTCCCTCTGGCTGTCATGTCTTGCACTGACGAGAGGAGACCCAACAAACTCTGCCATTGTCGTAGTGGCCACGGAGAGAGTAGAGCTTGCGAGATCGGCTGTTGTATCTTGAGCCATCAGTCCTCTGGTACCACTATGCGGTTCTGTGTAGTGATGAACCGGATTCCTAGGAACTGCAGGTCCTATGAAGGTTCTAGGTACAGGAATATGCAGGTAGGCGTCCTGTAGATCTATGCTGGCAATGTAGTCCCTCAGACGGACGAGATGTAGGAGTTGTGGTAGATGTATCAAGCTGAATTTTGGTGGTCTGCGTAGATAATCTCTGTTGAAGGCCCTCATGTTGTAGATGAGTCGGAACCTTTCTTTGGAGGCTTTCTTTGGCACTAGGAAAACTGGGGAGTAGAATCCTGGTGAGAGCTGGTCCTGGTCCACCACTTCTATGGCTTCCTTCTGTAGCAGAGATGTGACCGCTTCTCTTAGCCTCTCTGTCGAGTGGGCCGTGAAGTTGAACTTGTGAGGTTCGTCTGTCAACGGCGGAGTTGCTTGCAGTTGTATGCGATATCCGTCTCTAAGGATGCTGGATACAAATGGATCTTGAAGAATTGCCCAGTTCTCCCAGTAGTTTTGTAGACGTCCAACCACTTGTGAAGGTTGTACAAGAATGGCTGGGGGTGGAAGACTCCAGTCGTTCCGAACCCCGCCTTCATCGTTTCCGATCCTTGGCGCCTCTGGGTGCCCTGCCTCGTCCGGGTCGTCCTCTAAAGTTGCCGGCTGGGCGACGAAAGGAGTCCTTCTCTCCTCTGAAGGTCCTCATTTTCTTGTCTCTTGCCTTCTGGATGCCAGCGAACTTCGACTTGCCCGAGTAGCGATGGGACGTCTGCCTGATGACACTGGCTAGTTTATCGATGGACTTTATCATGAGGACTTCTCAGGAGTCTTTGGTAACTTCTTTGGCGACGTCGTCAATCTGCCCTGCGAAGATGGATGATGACGACCATGGGGCTCTGTATAGCGACTTCGTGAAGCGTTCGCTCCAGTTGCAGGATGCCAGTAGTCCTTGTCGTCTCGTCAACGTCAACTCTGCTGAGATGGATGATAGATGGTCCGTCCAGTCCGTTGGCCATCCAATACCTTATCTCTGCGTCCGAGAAGATAATACTGCCATCATCCTCTGCTTCAGGGGCGCTGACCTGGGATCGTTGATCATCCTCAGCTGGGGATCTGTTTGGAGACCTGCGCGGAGACCTGCGTGGAGATGAGCCTGTAGAGCTGCGTTTGTAGGGCGATCTGCGTGGAGACCTGCGTGGAGGCGAGCGTGTCTTGGTTCGTGAATGCCTCGGCGAAGATGTTGACGTCCTTGAGGTTGTCTCCGAAGACCTTTGCGGATGCCTTCGCGAAGGCTGTTCATCTGCGTCGTCAATGGAAGGCCCCTCCGATGTGTCGTCGGCGGTGGGTCCTGTGTGCAGGTCCAGGTCCTCTCTGTGGGTGGTGTCCAGGACTGGGTGTCGATCTCTTTCCTGCACGAAGCGTCTCTCCATCATCTCCATTATCTGCTGCGAAAACTGCTGCATGAAGGCCCCGGGGTTGAATGTCTGCAGTGATAGATGAGCTGCCCTCTGTGTGTTGGTAGTGATCTAGTCCAGAGATCTCTCATCTGCCGTCAGTGTAGATACCTTGGACTGCGTAGATAACTGCGCTGATGTTAACGTTGCTGAGGCCTGCTTCTTCTTGGGGCGATGTATCTCCGGGACAACCTCGGGACAATCTCGGCCAAGAAAGTCCTAGTCATCTGCGCCGACGTCCCTGTGGATCTGCTCGCCATCTTAGGAGTGTGTGGCCGTGTCTACGTAGAGGATGGCTTCTTCTTCTTCCTCTGCGAGGAAGGGATGTCGGAAGTGGCAGCCCTATTCTTCAAAGTGGCGGACAACGTCCCACGCCCATCCTCCGAGGACATCTCCGGCGGATCACTGGAAGGAAGAGGGTCGTCTGACAGCAGTTGACACGTGAGGGACTCAGCCGGCTTATCCATGACTTGACAAAGTCGCCTGGATTTGTCTTTAGCACGCCTAAGTACACGGAAAATATATTTATTAAATTCAATATTGGTTAAATGCTGACAAAGGTTGCAGCGAGAGCTGGAAGTGCATGGTGTTGTGCAGCAAGGGCACAATGAATGCGGGTCTGCAGCAGAGAATCGAAACCTACAACGAAAACAGGTTTTCATGAAATGTTAACAACTGAACAAACACAGACAAACCCGTGAATAAACAGTGAAAAATACGAATAAATTTCAAATCATATTATTGAAGGATACTCCCTAAACCCCTAGAAAGGTAATGTATAGGGTAATAACTAAGAAAAAAAAGGATATAGTGCCGAATAGAAGACACAGGCGCTCTCTCAACCGTCCACTAGAGCGAAGAAGGAGAGAGTGAAGCATGTGGGAGCGGTGGCGCCTCTTTTTCCCGCCCAAACGGCCAGACAGATAACTCATGGTGAGTAGTGATCTTACGTCTGTTTTTATTGTAGGAAGCTACAAACAGGAGATACAAGTGTTCCACTAACGTTCGCAAGAGGAAGGAGACAAGCAATAAGCATGAGTCAGGATAAGGAAAAATATGATGTTTAATCCAGTATTGCTATGACAGATGAACTATAGTTATCAGAAAAAGATGGATGTTCTTTAACATGTTTAGAGAAGCAATATTGTCAGGCCTCAAACAACATGATGAACATACTAAAGTTAACTTCTCAGCCACAGACTGCTATATAATCTGGAAAAATCTCTTTACTACAGACATGATTGACTTAAACCTGGGAACCGGACAAAAATCCCCCCCCCCAAGGAAATACACTTAAAAGTTTAGATATCTATTTATTTATTTATTTGTCAATATTTCAACATTCAACAAGGTCAAAGAGCACATAGCACATATTTTGAGCACATTTTTCACATCATTCATTGCACATATAATTTTACTTGACATATTTATACAATGCCAATGAGCATACATTTATTCAAACCATGATTAAAGGATTGAGGTACTTAAACCAATCAGTCCCTGCTCAGCCAATTAATCATCAATGAAACATCAAAGGGGATTACGTTTTGATCAAAGATCAGCAGAACCTTTAATCCAAAGCTAAAGATAAGTAGGGGGTATTTTGTCCTGGATTCCATAAACTCACCTGCTGGACAAATGAGAGAGAGTTTTCAAACACAAGCTCTTCTTTCTCGCTATCTGTGGACAGTAAAAAGCTCAGTAGCAGTTGTGAAATACAAAACTTACCTACATTACAATGCTACCCAACTTAAACAGACCCAATATATGTGGAAACTTCATCTTAAGGACAGTTTTTACATGACATAAAATTGATGTTTCATTTATCCAGAAATCTGGTTTATTGTTAGTTATTTTATTTTGTTATAACTATAGTCGGTTATACTCATTCAAAAGCAATTGATAGCAGTGGAAAGAAGGGACATGCCAGTTTACATCTGTCAGTTTGTTATAGGTGTGTTCGTTACAAACATAGTTTACTGTAGAAGGATTTCTAGCCTCGGTATGATTTGTGTAGGGGAGGTTACTCTGACAGGGGCTAATATGTACAGAAATTTACTTAACAGACAATATTTAAGAACATTAAGTGTCCTGATATGTGAGGTTTGAATGTATTGTATACATATGATAACCTTCTACCTATATTCATAGATCATCTTGAAAAGATTTAATGAGAAAAATGTTGAAATGAAATTTCTGCTCATTCAACAAAGCACACTGAAAATGAATATTAATAGAAACAATTTAAAACTAATTGTTCAGATCTGTCAGCAAATATATGATCTGTGATGTTTTAAACAAAGATGGATGACAAACAACCTCAAGAATCTCAGTTCAACGGCTCTTACAGAGTCGCCTTGAGAACTAACAGGGAGTCAGAAAACATCTTTTGAACACAAATTGTTTAAAATGACCAAAATGGAAGGTTGGCTCATTGTTCTGACACTACAATGGAACTACTCTAATTACTCCCATCTATGCAGGTCTACAGAGCCATGCTAACCTTCAAATGTTGGCTTCATATGAAACAGTTCTAGGTCATGGATTGTCATCTTCCCAGTTCTTGTGTCCAAACATCCACAGTAGTACCTGGAAGTGAAATGTAGGCCAAACTATCACAAATATATTGTAGGCACACACTACTGGTGTCAGAAATATATTGTAGGCAGACACTACTGGTGTCAGAAATATATTGTAGGCACACTACTGGTGTCAGAAATATATTGTAGGCACACACTACTGGTGTCAGAAATATGTGGTAGGCACACACTACTTGTGTCAGAAATATATAGCAGGCACACACTACTGGTGTCAGAAATATGTGGTAGGCACACACTACTTGTGTCAGAAATATATTGTAGGCACACTACTGGTGTCAGAAATATGTGGTAGGCACACACTACTGGTGTCAGAAATATGTGGTGGGCACACACTACTGGTGTCAGAATATGTGGTAGGCACACACTACTGGTGTCAGAAATACTAGACATGGTCAGATTTGTTAGCATATGCAGGAACCTGTCAGACTTATTCATTAAAACCAGTGAAAAACATCGAAAATAACATCTGTTAAAGTCCTGCGCAACAATTAGCAGCTGCTGTTAACCGTCAACAAACAAGTACCATGAATGTTCCAGTGGAAAGTATTTAGATATCTGAATTATGGTTGCAGATTTTCCAGTTTTAATATAAATGTACATGTATCACCATCAGAAAAGTAATAGCTAATTAGCTAATCCATTCTCTGCCCATACATTGCAATCTTGATAATGCTCTAAACACCACAAGCGGCTCCCAATAAGGCACCACTACATGTCTCACACTCAAAATACTGTCTACACAGTCTCTGTACTCAATGTGTGAGAATATTACAAAAAATCCATGATAATATTTGAAACCGGACAAAAGGATAAACAAGATCTTTAGCATAAACATGGTTTACAGTTCCACTGTGTTACCAGTTATCTCCCTTTGCATGAAGCGAAATTACTGTGCTACTCTGTTGCTACTCACTTTGAAGCCGAATGATCAGTCTCACTGTTGCTATGACCTACATAGGACAGCTTATTCTTGGCCGGTATTGTCTGTCAAACAATAGGAAACAACAAGGGGCATCAGGTTCTGGCTGATCAAGGAATGGGTAGGACATTATTGTGTTGAATGAGAATGATGTCACAGACTCTGCACTGCTGTCTACAGTCTGTAGAAGTTATCAATGTCAACATATCTATTATAAAACTTGACTTCAATGTTTCAGAGGAGCTATAAATGTGGAAACAGTGTGCACAATGGTGTGTACGTTTATATCTCAATACATGGTGTGTACGTTTATATCTCAATACATGGTGTGTACGTTTATATCTCAATACATGGTGTGTACGTTTATATCTCAATACATGGTGTGTACGTTTATATCTCAATACATGGTGTGTACGTTTATATCTCAATACATGGTGTGTACGTTTATATCTCAATACATGGTGTGTACGTTTATATCTCAATACATGGTGTGTACGTTTATATCTCAATACATGGTGTGTACGTTTATATCTCAATACATGGTGTGTACGTTTATATCTCAATACATGGTGTGTACGTTTATATCTCAATACATGGTGTGTACGTTTATATCTCAATACACAATACATGTAATGCGTTTATATCTCAATACATGGTGTGTATGCGTTTATATCTCAATACATGGTGTGTCAATGCGTTTATATCTCAATACATGGTGTGTAATGCGTTTATATCTCAATACATGGTTACGTTTATATCTCAATACATGGTGTGTATGCGTTTATATCTCAATACATGCGTTTATATCTCAATACATGGTGTGTATGCGTTTATATCTCAATACATGGTGTAATGCGTTTATATCTCAATACATGGTGTAATACGTTTATATCTCAATACATGGTGTGTATGCGTTTATATCTCAATACATGGTGTGTTTATATCTCAATACATGGTGTAATACGTTTTATATCTCAATACATGGTGTGTATGCGTTTATATCTCAATACATGGTGTGTAATGCGTTTATATCTCAATACATGGTGTTGTACGTTTATATCTCAATACATGGTGTGTACGTTTATATCTCAATACATGGTGTGTACGTTTATATCTCAATACATGGTGTGTACGTTTATATCTCAATACATGGTGTGTACGTTTATATCTCAATACATGGTGTGTACGTTTATATCTCAATACATGGTGTGTACGTTTATATCTCAATACATGGTGTGTAATGCGTTTATATCTCAATACATGGTGTGTACGTTTATATCTCAATACATGGTGTGTACGTTTATATCTCAATACATGGTGTATGTATGTATGTATGTATGTATGTATGTATGTATGTATGTATGTATGTATGTATGTATGTATATGTATGTATGTAGGTATATATGTATGTATGTATGTATGTCTGTATGTAGGTATATATGTATGTATGTATGTATGTATGTATGTATGTATGTATGTATGTATGTATGTATGTATGTATGTATGTATGTATGTATGTATGTATGTATGTATGTATGTATGTATGTATGTATGTATGTATGTATGTATGTATGTATGTATGTATGTATGTATGTATGTATGTATGTATGTATGTATGTATGTATGTATGTATGTATGTATGTATGTATGTGTGTATGTATGTATGTACGTATAGACGTACGTACGTACGTTACGTATGTATGTACATCAAAATGACGGCTACATCTGGGCCAAAGTCTCACCAAGATCTTCTGTGTATCCTCCCTTGACTGGGAGTCTTTCTCTGCCATCTCTCTGTAGTTGTAGTGAAGCTTCTTAAACATTCCCTTCTTAAGCTGGCCATGCTCAAACTTGGCTGCCAAACAACAATTTAACTTCAATTATAAACATGCCATTAAATCTATGATGTGGTTACCATGATTACTATTGTGAAACGCTCTGTCTGCTAGACTACCCTGATAAAGTAAAAGTTGTTAATATCATGTATATGTCTTGATTCAAGATCTTTCATTATTATTTTGTTTTTCTAAAAGGATTATTAGATGAGATTGATAGTTGTGGCGATGGTTAACATGGTTAAATGGAGAAATAGAGTAGGAATTGAACAGGGGACATTAGGGGAGTAGAGATAAATACAGGAGATAATTATTTGTCCTCTTGTTACCATAAACTTGCACTTGAATGGCAAACCTTGCAGAGAAAAAAGACAACAGCTAGATTTACTTGAGAGTAAAGTGCACGGTGTGATTCATTGAAGTCTGAGAGAAAGTTTGGAAAATAAGCCACGAACGGGTAAAGCAAGGTTTTTGTGCAAATGTGACAGAGGGGTGTTCATTTTGAAGTGTCAAAAATCAACAGAAAATCATTGCTTGTAGAAATTATAAACAATATTAACACATTTTCCACTGACTGTTTCCATTCGAACTGTTCCGTGGGAATTAACTCAAGAAGGATATATCACAGGAGCGTTAGTCACTAATATATTTGAACTAAGAGGTCATTAGAACAAAATAGACTTTTGTAGTGTTGAACTAACTGAGAAAGCAAATTATCAGATTCTGGGACAAGATAACGGTTTGTGATGAATCTAAGATGGAAACTGGGACTGACAACCATATTTCTGTGTGGCAAATGGGTGGCGAAGACTGTTACTCAAGCCAGTCAAGGCAACTCAGTCGGACAGCTGGCAAACGTCAGAACGTTTTGCTTTGGGGATCATTACATTTAAGGGCACACCTGGGACATTAGAATCGATATTTTAGCACGACTTTGTGTGATACTCGATTCTGATTGGCTAAGAGCTCATCAAAACCATTCTTAAATGGCAGTTTAAGACCGCTACATAAAGTGACTGATTCACTGAGTATGAATACAATGAACACGTTGACCCTTTTATTTGTAAACTAACATGTTGGACTTCGGCGATTTCTACCTCAGCAGCAGTTTTTGTTTTGAAGTAAAAAGCGAATGGTTTGAAGAAGAATCTCTTGACCCTAATCCCAGTGAAGAAACTATGAAGTTGGAAAATTTTGTTAGCAGCCCAATTTAAGCGGCAGTATTCCAACCGGGTCTAGATCTAGCGGGCATGACGTCGACAAAACACGTCGGCCCACTTGTCCTAACCTGACCACTTCCGTCCCGGCCGTAATGCCCAGTCCTTCCACTTCCACTGTCCATGTATCCCACATATAACGTGGCATGTCAGGTCTTTCCCAAATTGAGAATAGTAGGGTGGTTATCAACAATTATTACCATGAATAAAGTTAACGCTGACTAAACTTAGCGAGTTCACGGCTTGAATTGGGGTGAGTCGATTGTCATACTGTAGGGGAGATCAATAATTTGCTTGAAAAAAATCAAATAATTGTACTTGCTCACAGTATAAACTGTATTTGTTTTATTGATCTATCCTACTTGTTACAAACACAAGCATACTGGTATCTGAAATATAGCATTCATGTTGTTGAAAATGTCTTATTTTGTTCATTACACAACCTGTCCCTCAACGATTTCCAAACAATTTCCAGGGAAAAGGCCCCTTCCCGCCTAAAATGCTTATCTGTCAAGCTAGAATGAAGATAAAGCTACTCTGTTTTCAATTTTGCGGTCCTTAATTGTTGATTTAAGACCGCTAAATGTAATTTTAAAACTGAATGCGTTAGCGTGAGGTTTCAAATTAAACATTAAGCGGTCTTAAATCAATGATAAAGGACCGCAAAATTGAAAACAAAGTAGCTCTATCTTCTAATTGATGCAAGGGAGCATACACAAAAAGAAATGTCGAAAAATTTGTGACCTGCTCTTTTTCCCAACATTTCTTTTATCTTTCAAGACAACAAAATTCATTCACTGACTCATGTAGCCTTCATATGGCTATAGTTAAACAACAAACAAACCTAACAGCAATTTAGATCCACCAAGGTGTTGGAGAGTATACACGAGAGAGGGTTACGTCACCAAGTACTTGCTATGTTAACTAGTTTTATATTTTGTCTTCACGAACGAGAAAATACACACTATTTCCGGTTTTTTGGCGGTTAAGTGTCTGTTGACAGTGATCAGAGACTGACAGCCCCTGACCCTGGGGCGGTGCTCGGACCATTTCTACACTCACTTACCAGCTATGATTTTCTTTGAAGGTTTTCCATCTTTAGGCCGTACCAGTTTAACTTCCATGACGAGTCTCTTACAAATTAATCTGGCACAGAAATATAACAGTAAATTGGCCAGCGATTGCACGTTGACTACCGAACCACACGTGCGTTAGAACCAAAACATTCAGCACGATGTTCACTATATATGTTCTGGTAACTTTATAAAATATATTTTAATTTTACATATCTGAACTAATTACATTTAATTATGCTTATGTCAATGTAGAATACATGCTTAGGTGGCAAAATATATTCATTCGATGAGAAAAAATATTTTAGTATACTTTTAGGACATTACGAATATAAACGGAAATACTTCTCTGCCCCCTATCGTAAATAAAGAGGAGATAACTCTCAATGACTAACGTTTGACAGGTGCGCGAGAGATCGATACGCAGGCTGTGCGTAGCATATTGACTTTTACCAGGTGCTGGAAACCATCAGCAGCTGTTGTCGTGAGGTAAGCTTAGCTATCAGAAATGACACATCGCCTTTTGCGAGGTATCTGACAGGAATGTATGGTGTAAACATAACTATGCATACCCATATGGACGATTGAAGCGGCGCTCGGAGCACGTATAGCCGCTTAACCAGTGTTAACTACTGTTCCTATTAATGTGAACTACACTTGGTGTGAAAGTGCACTCGTTTTGAAGGTAAATGGGAAAGGGTTGGAAAACTGTGACAGAAGCAGGGGAGTTATATCTAGTATTAGACTGCATATATGACACATAGTATTTGACTTTACGTTGCCTGGTGCTGTCATAGTGTATTAGTGATCATGTCAGGATGCAAAGTCATACATTATTTATCCATATCATATTTCTGTTTACAGGTATTGATGACTGTGATAAGACAGTTGTCTGATCTTAATGTATTTAAAAATAAGGAAAACCAATGTAAAACATGTCACATGTATGACATAATTAGTGCAAAATGGCAGTATGGATTTTCTTAACTGCAATACTGATAAAGATTTACTTAACCTCCGAATGGTGCTCTTTTTCATGTTTGAATCATCAGAACAAAGTATGGAATGAAGGTCTGAGTGGCCAGATTAGGGGGATGAGTCCATTTGTCCAAAGATGGGATCTGAGCGGCCAGATCCAATGCATGTGAGTCCAGTTGTCCGAAGTTGGGATCTGAGTGTCCAGTTTCGAGGATGTCAGAGCAGTTGTCAAAATTGATTGTCGGATTGTCTAGATAAGAGGGATGTGAGTCTATTTGTCAGAGTGAGGGTCTGAGTGGCAGTTGTCAAAATGTGTCTAGTTGTCAGAAGTGAGGGTCTAGATAATTTGAGGGATGTGAGTCTAGTTGTCAGAAGTGAGGGTCTGAGTGGCCAGATTTGAGGGATGTGAGTCTAATTGTCAGAAGTGAGGGTCTGAGTGGCCAGATTTGAGGGATGTGAGTCTAATTGTCAGAAGTGAGGGTCTGAGTGGCCAGATTAGAGGGATGTGATTGTCTAGTTGTCCAGATTAGAGGGAGTGAGTCTAGGTCTGAGTGAGGGTCTGAGATTTGAGGGGATGTGAGTCTAGTTGTCAAAATTGATTGTCTGATTGTCTAGATTAGAGGGATGTGAGTCTAGTTGTCAGAAGTGAGGGTCTGAGTGGCCAGATTTGAGGATGTGAGTCTAATTGTCAGAAATGATGGTCTGAGTGGCCAGATTAGAGGGATGTGAGTCTAGTTGTCAGAAGTGAGGGTCTGAGTGGCCAGATTAGAGGGATGTGAGTCTAGTTGTCAGAAGTGAGGGTCTGAGTGGCCAGATTTGAGGATGTGAGTCTAATTGTCAGAAGTGAGGGTCTGAGTGGCCAGATTTGAGGGATGTGAGTCTAGTTGTCGAAATTGATTGTCTGATTGTCTAGATTCGAGGATGTGAGTCTAAAGTACTGTCGGAAATAGATAAAAACCTGGTTTTAGGCTGTTTCTGTGTGTCCCTAAAATTTACGTATGCAAATAGCAAATGTTGAAATAACACACATTGGCCTAACTGGGCATTCAGTGGTATGCATAATAGGATATCCAGAAAAGCATGTTTACTCCTAAAATTGGGCAAAACTTAGAAAATATTTCCAACGGCTGTTGAAAACAATACATCAGACTATAGATGACAATTAGTTCGCTCAGCCAGGTATGACGACGGACCGTCGACTCACCTGGCATGAAATGCGTGTGCTGCCTACTGGCACAAGGGGTAATCTCAAAGATATTTTATGCTTTCTCATGTGTGTGGAATATGTCTCATCTATTGATTGACACCTTATGTGTCTTTCTTTCACAAAGTTTATGTGGAGATATGTAAAAGAGTATGATACCCATAGAAAAGCCTAAATCAGCCTTTGTATTAAATGTCTCAAAATATATAGGTGGCATGACCACCCGATGATCGACAGGACTCGATAGCATTTGTAACTTGTTATGACATGCCGTTTGCTTCCCCAATCTATTTCCCCGAAAGGATTATTTTATCTCAGCTGATATCTCTATTAGTATTACCCATCCCGACCCCGACAACCGTCTGTGACACCCGTCCTGACACACTGTTGAGACGACCCTCCTACCTGTTTCTATTTATAGTGATAGTGAGACTCCATGGTAGCTACATCCTTAATAGTTTCTGTATTAAAGTTATTATTGTTTACATCAGCTATCGTTTATGATAACGATAAGTTTATTTTGAAATGGGTATTTAAAAAGTGTCCTTTGCAATACAGTATCATCGCTCACTAATTTGCACAAAGTCATGGTCTGTTCCAAATAAGTCTCTTTGGACTTAGAAAAATACCGCATTGCTCATTTCTGCACTAATCTCTCCTCAGTAAAGTCCTTTTTCTACGTTTCCTATCTCCCTACCACTGAGACTGTGGTTTGGCCGAACTTAGTTTAACAGATATTTCACACTTTTACATATTAACTACATAAATTGTAGATATAAATGCAAAAAATCAGTTTTTTTCTATTTCAAAGTGTACTTAAGTTGCCAGAAGTGAGGGTCTGATTGTCCAGATTGGAGGATGTGAGTCTAGTCAGAAGTGAGGGTCTGAGTGGCCAGATTAGATATTACAGGTTTCAACAAAGGGGACCAAGTTTGTCATTATATTTTCTCATGGGTAATCTAAAGCACTGGACAATGTGATGTGTTGTTAGCAGTTATTGGTAAATTATAGTAGCGTGTTGTTGAATGTGAAATGAGCTCTCTGTTCGGCATATTGTTGGTCATGTGTCTATTCACCATATTGTTGATCTAGTGTCAGTGTAGCCATGCAGGGAATTCTGTACATGCAGGTTTGTTTGTCAGTACTTCAACATTGATGGGGAGTCTTGTTTTTATGACAACTCCAAAACACAACTCATATCAGTCATTGTGTTTTCTGGTTCATTCTTGATTATTTCCAGACTGTGCCATATAGCTGGTCTAGTACTGACTACGGAGTGTGGTATTACACATCTGTCTGTGTGGCCCGACCTGCCATGTGTGTGTGTGATGGACATCTGTCTGTGTGGCCCAACCTGCCATGTGTATGTTTGTGATGGACATCTGTATGTGTGGCCTGACCTGCCATGTGTGTGTGTGATGGACATCTGTCTGTGTGGCCCGACCTGCCATGTGTGTGTGTGATGTACATCTGTCTGTGTGGCTCGACCTGCCTTGTGTATGTGTGTGATGGACATCTGTCTGTGTGGCCTGACCTGCCATGTGTGTATGTGTGATGGACATCTGTCTGTGCCCAACCTGCCTGTGATGGACATCTGTCTGTGTGGCCTACCTGCAATGTGTATGTGTGTGATGGACATCTGTCTGTGTGGCCCAACCTGCCACCTGACCTGCCATGTGTGTGTGTGTGATGGACATCTGTCTGTGTGTGCCATGTGTGTGTGTGTGATGGACATCTGTCTGTGTGGCTCCAACCTGCCTTGTGTATGTGTGTGATGGACATCTGTCTGTGTGGCCTGACCTGCCATGTGTGTATGTGTGATGGACATCTGTCTGTGTTGCCCTACCTGCAATGTGTAGTGTATGTGTGATGGACATCTGTCTGTGTGGCCCTACCTGCCATGTGTGTATGTGTGTGATGGACATCTGTGTCAATGTGTATGTGTGTGATGGAAATCTGTCTGTGTGTGTATGTGTGTGATGGACACCTGCCATGTGTGTATGTGTGATGGACATCTGTCTGTGTGGCCCAACCTGCCATGTGTATGTGTGTGATGGACATCTGTCTGTGTGGCCCTACCTGACAATGTGTATGTGTGTGATGGACATCTGTCTGTGTGTCTCGACCTGCCATGTGTGTATGTGTGATGGACATCTGTCTGTGTGGCCCAACCTGCCATGTGTGTATGTGTGATGGACATCTGTCTGTGTTGCCCTACCTGCCATGTGTATGCGTGTGATGAGAGGGTATAGGCAGCATGGTCACACTGGTGCACTGGTCTTGTCACAGATAGGTGGAAATCTGGAAGGACATGTTTTTTTCTTTCATTGATTTTTTAACTTCATTCAATATTTCAGGCAAAACTCCTGATACATTATATTTGAGGGAATCCTAATATCTATAAGTTGCTTTTCATATGAATATTTAAATGTGGTAATTTCATTGTTTATAGAGAAATATTCATTGTTCAGCTATAGATTTACATTTCTTTCAGTGTCACACAGACATATTATTTCAGGAAATGACTTGTGTCAGTAAGATATTTATAACAAGTTATCATGTATCACTGAGCACACCCATCGTACTGGGCTTCTATTGCAGTATGCCATCAATTGTTGCAGTCCTCAGCCACGACTCACCTGCTTCGTTTGTTGCCAGGCGATATAATGCTGTGTACCACAAAGCCACTTAGATTTTGTACCTGATCTACATATGTCAACTTTACTCTCATTCCATGATATTTCCATCTCTGATCATGTCCCTTGATGATGTGTGTGGGCACACCGGACAGCCCCATATTGACCTGTGTAATGCTGAACTCGGGCAGGAAGTGTATCGTGGGAGGGAGTCGGTGCTGGTATTGATTGTGTGTTTGATCAGCTCTGATTTACAAAGTGTTATACCTCTGTAGTGTTCCTCTGTTCTATGGGATGTATTTATATCATTGTCAGCTGATGTTAGATACACAATGTTTTAGCATTGTCAGTTGATGTGAGAAGCACAGTTTATAGCATTGTCAGTTGATGTGAGATACACAGTTTATAGCATTGTCAGTTGATGTGAGATACACAGTTTATAGCATTGTCAGTTGATGTGAGATACACAGTTTATAGCATTGTCAGCAGATGTGAGATACACAGTTTATAACATTGTCAGTTAATGTGAGATACACAGTTTATAGCATTGTCAGTTGATGTGAAATACACAGTTTATAGCATTGTCAGTTGATGTGAGATACACAGTTTATAGCATTGTCAGTTAACGAGATACACAGTTTATAGCATTGTCAGTTGATGTGAGATACACAGTTTATAGCATTGTCAGTTGATGTGAGATACACAGTTTATAGCATTGTCAGTTAACGAGATACACAGTTTATAGCATTGTCAGTTGATGTGAGATGCACAATTTATAGCATTGTCAGTTGATGTGAGATACACAGTTTATAGCATGTCAGTTAACAAGATACACAGTTTATAGCATTGTCAGTTGATGTGAGATAC